AGGCTGGGGTGAGAGAGGCATTTCTTAGGGTATCTGGAGTCTAGCAGAACTTCCTATAGTGAGCAGCTTCCTAACCCTGGTCCTTTTTGTTCATAGACCAAAGTGAGCCTATATAACCCTGGAAGCTAAAGCACCTCTGTAGAACATCTAGTTGACTCTTTGTTTTAACAAGTGCTATCCTGTTCACAAGTCCTCCTCTAGGAATTTTTCCCTTAGCTTCTGCTGAAAAGTCGGCCTACTACAGCAACGTTTGTCTTATGTGACATACCTCTTCTTTCCTCTCATCTCTGATTGGATGAAAGCTAATCACCTGACCCAAAGAAAGCTAACCTTTGCTGGCCAATAACCAATGAGATACAATTTCTCTAGAAATATCTTGAATTGAAAGATCCAATCATTTTTGGTTTCAGAGTTGGAAAGGTTTAGAGTGACCACGTTGTATCATTATTGGAGCAAAGCAAAGTGATCAAGGGGGATCACAAGGGGAGGGAGCACTCTCTCTTCTTAAAAATTCACAGAGTCTATTGAATTAAGAACGTACTTCCATGACATCACATAACATTAATAACCTTTTTGTTGGTTTGTTTGTTTCTTGAGACAAGATCTTGCTATGTAATTCAGGCCATCCGTGAACTCACTATGTATCCCCGGCTGGTCTTGAACTTGCAGCAGTCCTCCTGCCTCAGCCTCCTAAATGCTGGGATTACAGACGTGCCACCATGCTCTATAATAACGCCATAAAGCCCAATCTCCAAATAGTTTTTCCCTTGGCCACCAGGGGGATTGAATCTGGGGCACCCAATCCCAGGAGATACCAAATCTGCAAATGCCCAAGTTTCCGATGTAAAATGGTGAGATATTTGCATATAACCTACTCACAGTGACGTACTTTAAATCATCTCTAGATAATTTGTAATACCTAACACGATGTAAGTGCCATGTAAATAGGTGCTATATCGCAGTGTTGAGGGAATAATGACAAGGGGGAAAGTCTGTGCATTCAATAATTAGGCAATTTTCTTTCAAATATTTTCTAATCAGGATTGGTTGACTCCACAGATGCGTAACCAGTGGATACCCATAGCTAGCTGTATGTACAGTCTTACTGAAAATCAGGCTTCAATACCCGATCGGCTGGAGACACAATGCCATGCAGGCTCCTTCTGAGTCAGGAACTCAGGGTGAGGCCCAGGAATTGGGGTTGAAACGGTCCTCCGTGTGTTCCTAGTGCTCAAGTTTAAGATACTTTCTACCAAATGATCTGTACCAGGACGTGGGGTATACAGGAGATGAGCCCTCCCCAAACGCCTTCTACCAAAACACCAGGTCCTGTTTCCTTTTGGCTGGGCGTTTTTTTGTTTTTGACTAGATGCATTGACTTCCCAGTTTAATTGCAGCAAAGGTCTCATGAATACTTAGCCTTTTCGGTTTCTGCAAGGCTCTGCTTCCCTTTGGGGTCTCATGAAGTCCCAGGCCTCTGCAGAGTAACTGGGTCATTACAATCAGCATAGCTGTTTCCAACACCAGGTGAGATGTCCAGGACAAACTGACTGGTTCCATGCAGAGCATCTCAGTGGGAAGTAATGACACCTTAGCGGGGGAAAGTGCTTTTCAGCTCTCCATTTACAGAAACCTAGACTCAGAGAAGTAATGGCATCTTGCCCAAAGTCACCCAGGAGACTGGCAAAGCCTTCTCTAGGACATCCAGCTCCCCACTGAAAGCAAGTTGTGCTGAAGGTGGATAAGGAGGAAAGAATGGAAGCCTCGGGCTTCTGCTGTGTCTCCAGCAGTCGCAGGCCGCTCTGATAGCTTTCTCCCCTTACATCTCCATCTCCCCACAACGCCGGCTTCCTGGATACTTCAGAAGGTCTCCAATGTGCCATGCTGCGACAGGTTTGTGGCTTCCGGGCTGGCATTTTTTCCACCACTCCAGGGCTTCTGAAATTTTAATGCACACATCAACTCGTGGGGGCCCTGCTAAATGCAGCTTCTGATTCATGAGGTCTGCCTGGGCCTGAGACTGTGTTCAGCACCACTGAAGCTTCTAGTGGTGCTGGGACTGTCAGTCTGCGCCCCACTGAGAAAGGGCTTTTGCACCTCACTGATCTCTCATCCCTCCTCCAGACTGATTCTTTATAAACATCCAGACTAGAAGAGCTGAGTCTTGCAGGACAGAAATTGTTCCCTCCTTGTGGCCAAGGGATGGGGAACAGGGAGCAGAAGTTGAAGGAGACGGTGAAATACTCCCCTTGCTTCCCCAAGTTTCTCCTTCAGTCCATGCCACTCACAAATGCCAAGCAAAGGGCCTGGTGCTCTCAAAGACGGCAAGAGGAGGAGCCTGGCGGCTTGACTGGAGCTTCTCATTTTCCATGTTGCCAGGACCACACAAGACCCTCTTGAAGCTGCTGGCAGTGAAGAACATGCTGGTGGGCACTCTGGTCTCTGGCTCCAGCCCAGCTTCTTCCCACTTAAGGAAGCCCTTTGGAGGTTAGTTATGGCCTGAGTTATGTCCTCCTTCCCAACCACCAAATTCATGTGTTGACTCCCAATCTCCAGTAAGAATGTATCTGGAGATAGGGTGTTTAGGAGACTCCAATAGGATCATGAGGGTGGAGCCCTAGCCCAGTAGGACTGTGGCCTTATGAGAAAAATCTCTCCTCACACCAGGATGCCAGCCTTCATCGTGCTGGCACCCTGATCTCATATTTCAGCCTCTAAGATTGCCTATGAAAAAACAAATATCTGGTATTTCAGACCCACTAGTATTGGTGCTTTCTCCACGCACCGAAAGACTCCCCAGCTGGCTGTTCTGGGGTAGAAGGTGAATCTAATGCAGGGACAGTGACAAGGCCAAATAGTACCATTTCCAGTCCCGTGGCACCTTGTTGAAAACGAAGTTCCCCTGTTTGAGATAAGAAATGTGCAAATAGTTGTAGGGGCCCTAAAAACACCTGGAGAATGGCTGTGTCCTGGCATTTGAGTCTGTGGAGGAGCTGAAGCTTCTAGGGTCTTGGGCATGCTAGGCCTGAGCCATCTCTCTAACCTGGACTATCTTTAATCGACAAGTCTGGACCCAGCACATTTCCCTGGATAGTCATAGGAAATTTCCATCAGGACTGGGGATTTAGCTCAGCTGAATAAGCGCCTGGAGATGAGTGCAAGATTGTGAGTTCATCCACAGTACCATAAAAAAAGGAGGAGAAGGAGGAGGAGGAGGAGGAGGAGGAGGAGAAGGAGGAGGAGGAGGAGGAGGAGGAGAAGGAGGAGAAGGAGAAGCAGAAGAAAGAAGAAGAAAGAAGAAGAAGAAGAAGAAGAAGAAGAAGAAGAAGAAGAAGAAGAAGAAGAAGAAGAAGAAGAAGGTTATGTCAAAAAAAGTCCATCAGTGATAATGAAAGGGTGCTATTTTCCTTCTAACCCTAATTACATTCTGAGTACATGCTCAATACTTTTATAATTTAATCCAATAGATAATTGGTTATTTACACCAAGCTCTGTGCTTGATGCTGGACATGAACCAGTTACATGGAATTGCAGAGGATGTTAGGAGTTTCCTTGGTGCAGCAGAGAAACAAGGGTGGAGAAAGGCCTTTATTGCAGGCACAGGAGGACTGCAGAAGAGTGCAAAATCCCCTTGAGGCAGACAAAGAAGCAGCCAGCTTTTATTTGGTTTGAGGGGGCGGAGTGGAATTTGAAGGGGTAGGCAGAATGACATATTGATACCTGATTGGGGGAATGTTGGCATACATGGAAAAAACCCCAGAAAATTCAATTTCAGCTTAGAAAACCACGGACGTTAGTATTGAAGAGACACGCTGATCTTTAGGGTCCAGCACTATGTTGGGCAGGTGCTATGTTGAGCCTGGCAGAGCTTCACATGGGCAGAACCCATCAGTGGAGGGAAACATTTGAATCTTGTTCTTTGAGGAAGTTTCTACCTTTCTACAGCTGAAAGATGGTGATCAGGCAAGAGGATAGGGAGTGATATCTTACTCATTTGGTCGTTTGGGGGCCAGCTCTGTGACAAAGAGCAGGACTGTCTCTGTGCTGTTGGAGCTCACAGTTACAGAGCAGTGGTGTAGTTGAGAAAGGCCCTGATAAATACTTGCAAGCGTAAACAGTCTGCAGACAACAGAACAGAGTGTCGTGGAAATTCAAGGGGTGAGGCATCCACTCAGAGCTGCGAATGTGTGCTGTGTGAGCCAAACCACCTTCCGGGACAAAGCTCCAGGCTGGGTTCTGAGTTTCAGCTTCTGGGGATTAGTAAGTTTCATGAGGACCCCACAGTGGGATTAAGCCACACCCATCAAAGTTGTCCTGCTTGGAGCTGCAGACTCTCTTTAAAAGGGTGAAATGCACAGATAACTCTGATTTTAAGTCTTCTTTGGAGGGAATGGCTTTTATCAGGCAGGACAGGACCCACCCCAGCCTCTCAGCACAAAGTGACTCAAATGCTGCAGACCCAAGGGTATGGGGGGAATGACTGGGCTATACTTTGGCAGGTCTGTGCTGTGTTTTCCAAGAAGTGTTCCCCAGCATTTCACAGTTCGTTCCTAATCAAGAAGCTAAAGTGGGCAAGGGCAGTGCCAGGGATAAAACCTCTGTCTGTCATCCAGCAAACAGCTATCAGATGCTCCGAGAAGTAAAATCACTAAATCACCTGTCTGACCAGTGAAATGACAGTCACTCCTGGGAAGACCTTAGGTCCCCAAATGTGCTTGCTAAGGGCCAGCACTGTAGGCCCTGACAGCCTACTCTGTCCGGAACACCTGCGGGGGGAGGCTTTCCACCCTTGGGAACAGAAAACACACATAAAAGAAAAATGCCAGTTTGAAAGAAAAATAATGATTTTTACATAGCAAAGAGAAAGAAATCAGGAACGAATAAATGTTCAACTCCAAAATCCTTGAGAGGTGCTGGAAGCCAGTGAGCTGTCTGGTGCAGGGACAGATTAGGAATGGACTTCAGGGCCTTAATCACCCCCTGCACCAGTGGTTTTGGGATTTGGGCAAGAAAATAGGATTGAGGCAGATGTGAGGGTGTATTGGATTTTTTTTTTTTTTTTGGTTTGCAAAAACATCTTTCCAAAGCCTTAACTCATTTGATTGTCAGGACAGCTTCTGTAGGTAGGAAGATCAGCACTAGTTTTCCTGTTTATTTCATAGCTATCAGATGCTCAGAGAAGTAAAATCACTAAAAATCCTCCAGCTAGAAAATACCTGCTCGAGGACCGGATTCCACAGTCAGGGTTTTTTGTCACACATGGGGAGGTCTTTTGGCAGGAAGGGAGGAGGAAGGAACAGAGTCACAGACAGCAGCACCTAAGACTGCACGTTTGTCCTCTGGATATACTACGTGACTCCTGCATCGTGTGATTTCTATGTACAAAAGAGGAAATAGGCTCAGAGGTGGGTGGTGTCACTCACACCCAAGGGGCAGTGCCTATACCGCCCCAAAGAGGCTGCGAGCATGGGGTGGACATATCCACAGTGCTCACTGGACTGAGCTGGGCTGAGAGCCCATGACCCGGCTGAATAGCTGGAGAGGGCAGGTCATTTGGCTTAAAGTCAAGCCAGTCTGGCTGAAAGGATCATGTCACTGTGCCCTGGAGCTCTATGCTGTCACCCTGGGTTCTGGCACGCCCTCTCTGACACCTCACCCATCGAGGGGCTTGGGGTTCTGGACAGTCAAGTCCAGTCGAGCTGAGCTCCAGGACTTATAAGGTGAGGGTCATCCTCTGGCCTGGCTGCAGCCTGGGGAGAGCAGTGGTCACTGTGTTGTGTTGCACAAGTGTTTGCAAATCACACAGCTGCCCTGGGATGCTTTTATTATTAAAAACAAAAGTATGTGAAAGGGGTAAATGCACAGAGTCCCTGCAGGGTAGTCAGGCATGGTGACCCAAAATCATGGTTCTTGCTGTCAGGGAGTTCAGGGCTCTTGACTGGCTTATAGGCTGACACAGTTGACTGGGAAATTTATCTTGGTTTTCCCAAGGACCGGAGACATTGCTGACACTGAGGGAGCGGAGGCCGGGGATGTTAAACATCCCATAACATGTGGGATAATCCTCCACAACAAAGACAGCCTGTTCTAAATGCCAGTAGCTCCCTCCCAGTGCACCAGCTGGAAGTCAGGGAAGTCCCCCAGTTTCCCCCTATTCTTTTGCAGATGTGGACCATGAGGCCCAGGGAGGTTGAGGCTCTAGAAACAAATTCGTCTGGCCATAGTGGACTCTAAGTCCTTGTGCTTCCACACCTTTCCACACTGCTGCTTCTCCTGAAACTCAGCGTGCAGTGTGGAGAGGGCTGTGCCTGCCTTGTTAGAAGCTCACCAGGCTCCTGTGTGCACACAGCCCAGGAGCACCAATCACCAAACAAGTGAGCAGAGTAAGAAGCAGCCTCAGAATGCTTGGGAAGACGCTGGGATGAGCCAGCCCTGGAGACAGAGGAAGGAAGACAGGAGGGAAGCCCTGTTGGGGGATATCAGCTGTTTCTTAAAACAGTGGCTCCTGAGTATACGTGGAGCCTCCTAAGGCTGGATAATTAGTGCATTTCTATAGGAAGAGTGAGATTTAGTTCGTAGCTGACCTTTCTCCAAGAGGGACTAAGAGAGCCTGCATTCTGCATGCCATTCCTGGGTTCCAAGATGCCAGGTGACAGAAGGAAAGTACAGAGGGAAGGGGAAAGTGAAGGGAGGAAGGGGGGCCCTAAGGCCCTGGTCCACCTACCCTGCTACGATGACCTTGTGCTTCAGGTGCCAGCTCCTCCCTGGGCATCATGGATACCCAGGAGTCTAAATGTGGACAGTATGTGAAAATACTTTAGACAGCTTCCTCTGCCATAACAACACATGCTAGACAAAGAAACTTGGAACAACAGAAATGTACTTCCCATAGTTACGGAGGAGAGAAACTGTAAGGTCAACATACCAGCAGGCTAGACCTAGTGGCGCAGCCTGGAATCCTAGTACTGGAGGAGGCTGAGGCAGGGTGGTTGCAAGTTTGAGTCCAGCTTGAGCAACTTAGAGACTTAGAAAGAACCTGTTTGAAAATTTAAAATGGGCTGCAGATGAAGCAGGGTGCAAAGGCCTGGATTCAATCTCCAGTACCACCAAAGAAGGAAAAAGATGCTGGCACATTGAGACATGGTGAGGACCTGCTTTCAGGTTCATAGATGGGGGCTTCTTGCTGTGTCCCCACATGGCAGTAGGGACAGGGGTCTCTTTATGACCTAATCTCCTCCCAAAGGCCTTCTTAATATTATCACTTTGGGGCTTAGGATCTTGGGGAAGGAGCATAAATGTTCAGGTTATAGTGAATATTTAGGCTCAAGACTTTGAGTTTAACCCTCTAGACCTTGCCCCCTATCAAGCCAGGCAGCTGTGTCACACGGAGCTGCTTCTTTGGGGTTGATGGGACCACAGAATGTGGAGGAGACATCGAAGCCCCGGGATCTGCCATCCCTCCCCGCCATCCTCCTCTCTCTTCACAGAGGGCCCAAGACTGTGGCTTTTCATCCTAAACATGTTTTTTGGGCTAAACACAAAAGCATCCATAAACATGCATGAGGTTGTTTTGCATGATTGTACCTTTTTCATGAAGGAGCCACGCAGCCTCCTTTCTTATGTATTATTTTGTTAGATGTATCCTGGGTGACGTACGTAGGCCTGGCTTGTGATTGTGAGAGCTATGCAGTGTTCTGTTGCGTAACTATTCTTTATTTATTTACCCAGGCTCCTGTTAGTGGACATTAGGTCACCTCTTCCTCCTCCTGCTCCTCCTCCTCCTGTTCTTTTTCCTCTTCCTCCTTCTCCTCCTCCTCTTCTTCCTCTTTTGAACCATTCTAGGGAATGCTGTGGTAAATGCACAGATACTGTACCTATGTCATTGTGCCCACATAGGAGACTATCTCCAGAGTATACACCTAGTGATGGAACAGCTGTGTTTCCACTTCCTACAGCTATTTAAGGAATTTACAGCCAACAGTGAGAACTAACTACTTTTCTGTGGCAGGTTCTTCTATCTGCTGTGGTGTCAGCCAGATGCTGGGATGAGTGGAAGACCTGGGGTTTCCTGTGGCGAGCTGGGCCTTCTTTATGGCATGGTGCAAGTTCCAGGAAGGAGCGTCTTGAACACCAACACGGAAGCCTGAGGCTCTTTTAAGGCACGGCCTTGAAATTACAAAGCACTGCTCCCACAGGATTCTTTTGGTCAAAACAAGTTGTAGGCCAACCGGGATGTAGGGAAGTAGAAATAGACTCCATTCCTCAGTGGGATGAGCGCCAAAGAATGTGCATTTGGCTTTTTAAAAATTCTTGGTGCAGTGCTGGGGACCAAACTAGGGTGCTCTACCTCTGAGCTATGCGCCCAGCCCTTTTCCTTTTACATCTTTTTTTTATTGGTCTATGTTTACCATACATAATATTTTCATTTGGGGGTGTTGAGAATATAGATACATATATTATTATATCCATCATTTTCCAATCCCTCTTCCCGTTCTTCTCCCCTTCCCTCCCATACCCCAACTCCAAAAAGTCTGTTTATTTTTCTCTTTAATTAATTTATATTTGGGCCTGATTTACTTAACATTATGGTCTTGAGATCCATTCATTTTCCTGCAAATGCCATGGTTTCATTCTTCTTCATGATTAAGACACCCATGTACATATATACCCCATTTTCTCTGTTCGTTCATGCATTATTGGGTACCAAGTCTGTTTGCAGAGCCCATTTATTGTCAGTTGTGCTGCTATAAACATGAGTATGCAAGCATTACTCTAGCAGGGCTTTTTCATTTGTTTGTTTGTACCGGGGATCGAACTCACAACCTCATGCTTGCCAGGCAGGTGCTTAGGGTGCTGAGCTAAATCCCCAGCTCTATGGTGGGATTTTTAAAACTCTGTTAGGAATATACCCTGAAGAAGTATAGCTAGGTAAAGTGGAATTTCTGTTTCTAGCTTTTTGAGGCCTCTCCCTGCTGATTTCTACAACAGATGTACTAATTTATATTTCTACCAACAGTGTGGAAGGATTCCTTTCTTTCCACATCTTCACCAGCATCTGGAGCTTTTTGGAGTTCTTGGTAGCCATTCTGAATGGAGTAAGATGGAATCTCACAGGTTTTTTCATTTGCCAAAGATGATATCTCAGCAACGAGTAAAAAGTGATAAACATGTTTTCATGTATTTATATGCCATCTGTACTTTTCTTGTGAGAACTGTGTATCCAGTTCATTTGACCATTTTTTGTTTGGGCTGTTTATTTTGCGGGTGTTGATTATTTTGAGTTCTGTATGTAGTCTAGATATTAGTTCTCTGTCAGAAGAGCAGCTAACAAAAATGCTTTCCTATTCAGCAGGTTGTCTCTTCACATGGTGGATTGTTTCCTTCACCATGCAGAAACATTTTAGTTTGATGTAGTCCCATGTATTGATTCTTAGTATTATTTCTTATGCGACTGGAATTCTGTGAAAAAAATCATTGCCTGTACCTGTCACTTCATGTATTCTCCTTATGTTATTTTCCAGAAGTTTTTATATTTATATCATTTATCTATTTTTATTTGATTTTAGTACAGGGTGAAAGATATAGGTCCAGGCTCTTTCCTCTACGTGTAGACAACCAATTTTCCCAGCACCATTTGTTAAAGAGGTAATCTGTTCCCCAGGGTATGCTTTTAAGCCTTTGTCAAAAATCAGACATGGTAGACTTCTGGGAGAACATGGCAGATAGATAACAGCAGCTATGGAGGTTCTCCGAGATAACCAGCTTAGAATCCAGGAATGGTGCGGTGTGAGGAGTCCTAAGCAAGGGGAGATATACCCTGCCGACCCAGAAACGAACTAAGCTGAGAGAAACCAACTGGAAATGCAATCCCAGTGCTATAACCAGAACAGATAAAATCTCAGCACTGAAGATGAAACCTGCGACTCTGGAAGCCACGATTTGAATTTCCTGCCACCGCTGCTGCGCCTGAATCGGCACAGCAGAGATAGAAACGTGAAACCTCTGAGAGCGGGAATCAGCGAACGGAGTTGAGAGCGGGACTAGCAGGGAGATCTGCATTGACCTGCGGTGAGAGAGAGGAACAGGGACCCCTCCATACATAAGGAGGCTCCAACAGAGGACATTCTGGACTGGGCAGACTAGCCAGAACAGGACACTGCAGTGACTTTAGTCGCATATTCCCCTCTCAAGCAGTATTGGTGGGGAGCACTTGGCCTGGGTGATGCCGCAGACTAAGACCCAGTAGGCTAGCCCAAACCAGGTCCCAGCGCCTGGAGGTGCACCCTAGTAGTGAAGCCTTCAGTGGGTTGACCTAGAGGGGCGGGCCCAGCAGAGGCTGCCCAGGTCTCTGTCTCCCTAGTACACTGCAGTGTGTGGGAACACCTAGCCAGCGCAATTCAAACAAACTAACCAACAAAGAAAGAAACTGGGCCTCCTATAAACGCCTTGTATAGAAGGAACAAAAAGTATGGGAAGAGGGAACAACAAGAAAGGGTCCTCGGCCCCCAATCCTGAGAACACTGATCCAGGAAAGGTAAATGCAAAGGAGAATGAGGACAGAAAACATGCAATATCAGACACGGCACCAATAGACGTAAAGCAATATCTCCGGAGCCTCATAGACGAGTTCAAAAGTGAAGTATTTAATGAAGTAAAGCAAAATATAAGTAGAATAGTTAGAGAAATGCTAAGCACCACCCAAGAAAATGGTGGTGGTGGAATGGAAGAACAGAAAAAAAGGGGAGAATTGTTTGATGGAGAAAATAGAGAAAACATAGAATACGTGAAGCAGGTTCAAAGAGATTACCAGGAAATTAAAAACTCTATTGAAAACTGGCATAACAGCTTGAAAGAAACTAAGGATAGATTATCTGACCTGGAGGACATATTTGTAATGTGGGAGCATGAAATGAAAAACTTCTTAAAAATAACAACGAAACAAACAGCAATAATACAAAGGCTAGAAGATGATAAGAGGATCTATAACTTAAGAATTAAGAACGTAAAAGAAGAAGTAGGAACACAAACAATGAACTATAAAGGCTATTCACAGAAATAATCCAAGAGAATTTCCCTAATTTAGCAAAAGGTAAAGATACTCAGATGTATGAGGCATACAGGACCCCAGCCACTACAACCCAAACAGAACTACACCCAGGCATATAATAATCAAAATTCCAGAAACCCAATATAAGAATATTAAAAACCATCAGAGACAAGAAACAGATCACTTACAAGGGAACACCCATCAGAATTACAGAAGACTTCTCGGCACAAACCATCAAAGCAGACTTCTTGGCACAAACCATCAAAGAGAGTGGGGGGAAATAACTCAAGCTTTGAAAGATAATAACCTCCATCCAAGATTGATATATCCTGCACAACTGTCCCTAGAAATTGATGGAAAAACAAGGTGCTTCCAGGATTAAGAGGAACTAGGGGAATTTGCAACCACCAATTCAACTCTACAGAGAATACTGCAGGACATTTAAAAAAAAAGAAAAATACCAAGATTCCTGAAACAGTGGCAGAGAGGCCACAATGAATGGAGCAGAAAGAGAAACAAAGAAGACAAACTGACAGAAAAAGAGCTCAACAGAAATGGGGCAGAGAAGATTGGATGGTAGGAACAGCTATTTTGGAGAAACAAGACATCATAATAGCTAGTGCTGATTTAGTATCATCTTGTTTTGAAGTCCCATCAAACTTGTATTATTCTGTCTCCATTGGTCTTAAACATGTTGTATCTTATTGGATTTTATTATATGTGATAATATAAATAAAAATTTTATAGACAAGGAGATTATACAGAAACCATTGTTCATTTTCTGTTAGTTGGTTCTAAATACCCTGTAATACTGTCATTCTCTTGAATGGTTTTACATTGTCTTGATACGTTTGATGCTACAGTACACGGAGTTATACTCAAAGACTTCAAGGAAAGAGACACTATGGTAACTACTTTTATGTCAGGATCTCTTGTGGTGAAACACTATTTTGCTTAAATGGTTATGTTTTGACCTGTGCTGTTTTGTTGTTATGTGCTCTTTTATCTCTATCTCCTTTTTTTATTATTTACTTTTTTATTTTTATCTTTTTAATTAAGGGAAAAATAAATTAAAATAGCAGGATATATTATAGTAACCCACTTTGATTTCCTATTAACTTGATTTGAAACCCTATATTGCTCTCACAATCTTGTTTTGACTGATTTTATGCTATTCTGTTTTGCTTGATAGTACCAAGTTCGAGAGTATAGGCAACAACTGTGAAGACAATAAGATTCATTATGACGCCCATTCTCATTTGACTATTATCTTCTTTTGAAGTCCTGTAATGTCTCCAATGTTTTGGTTTTATTGGTTTTGTTCTTTACTGTTTTGTTCAATTATATTATAACTGATGATATAGGCAATTCTTTTTAAGATAGTAAGAGGCATTGTGGTAACCATTGTTGATGACCTTGTATTTTGTTTTTACATTATGTATTATGTCCATCCTTTTGATTTGACTGACTCTGTTCTGTCACATTTGGTTTTACTTTCTTCAGAAAAAAAGTAATAAGAACTGTGGGAGTAATAAAACCCAAAATGTATAATTGTCATTGTACAAAAGAGCGGAAAAGAAAGTGCTCTAAAGGACATAACTGCATGTATATTTAAGTGTATAAGATAGATAACCATACTACTGAGTTTTGTTGGATCATTGAACAGAACTGTTTGCAGTCTCACTGTTTGAATGTCCACTTTATATGCTTTAATTTTGTAACCTGAACAACTATTTCTTTTTTTTTTTCTTTCTTTCTTTTTTATTTAAAGAAAAGGAAACGAAAAAAAAATACATGGAGATAAAAAAAAAAAGGGTAGAAATAATACAAAATTACAGACAAACAAAAGGTAAGAAATTGCCGGTTGATAAGTTACACATTGTCATCTTCGAAATAGCTGTTCAGGTTATAGAATTAAAGTATTAAGAATGACATTCAAAAAAGTGACCCTACAAACCATTCTGCTCTATGATCGAACAAAAGCTCAGTAATATGATTATCAGTCCTACACATTTGTTTTACATCTCAAAGAGGGTAAGATTAACCATATCAAAACAGAACAGAACATTTAAAAAAAATAAAAAACAATTTAAAGAAATACAGATTTCAAAGCAAGTCCACTGGAGATCTTCTTTATCTAACTGTCTCTAGCTTCTTACAAATAGTTGTCCCTATCTTCACCCACTTTATATACTTATTGCATATTATAGAACTAATCAAATCACTACAGGATGATGAAGTCTTTTTAGGTCCTCAATGAACAACTATTTCTAAGATGACAATATGTAATCTATTAAGTAGTGATTTCCTACTGTTTATTTTTTCTGAAATTCTTTATAACTTGTACCCTTTTTTTTTCTCCTTAAATAAAATTTTTAAAAAATCAGATATGGTGATGTGATGCACCACTGTAATCCCAGCACTTGGAAGCAGGAGGACCACTGCAAGGGTAAGGCCAGCCTGGGCTGGCAGATGAGTTCAGGACCAGCCTGAACTCAGTAGTGTGGCCTTGGCTTGAAAGCAAAAAAATCCCAACTGGCTGTAGGCACTTGGGGTTTTTTCTGAATCTTCTATTCTATTCTATTGATCTATGTGGCTATTTTTGTGCCATTTCCATGCTGTTTTTGTTGCTATAGCTTTATAATTGGAAATTGTGATGCTTCTTGCTTTGCTCTTTTTGCTCAAAATGACTTTGGCTGTTCTGGGTCTCTTCTGGTTCTGTATAAATTTTAGGAATTTTTTTCCTAGTGCTGTAAAAATGTTGTTGATGATTTAGTAGAGATTTATGTTAAATCTGTATATTGCTTTTGGTAATATAGCCACTTTAATAATATTAATTCCACCTTCAGCTTTTTTTTCCCCCCAAGATAGTCTCACTAAATTACCCAGGTGAGTCTCAAACTTGTGATCCTTCTGCCTCAGCCTCCCTCAGTGTTGGGATTATAAGTGTGCACCACTTGCTAGGCTTACATTTCCCTCTAATACACCATAGTTGGGTTATTATTTATGTATATATTTTAAACTTTGCTAGATAATGCCAAATTGCTCTCCAAAAATAGACATTCCAATTTATATTTTCATCATCTACGTAAAAGCCTCCGTATTTCTACAACTGTCTCATGATAGTGTTGTCAAATTAAACACAGTTTGCCAACTTGATGAGTGTGAAATTGCATCTCAATGTTGTATAAAATTTTCCAAGTGAAATTGAACATTCTTTCATAGGCTTATTGACTTTTAATGGGTTTTTCCTTCTATGGTCTCCATTTCAGATTCTTTTGGCAATTTTTAAATGTCTCTCCTTTGTTTAGTGATTTGTTTGAGCTTTTTATATAGTGTAGGTTCTACTCCTTTATCAATTTCATGTATTGCAACTACCAAGACCTTGTGAGAGACTGCAAAGAGGCACAGAGGTAGAATAAGTGGGTTGAAGCAATTGGCAGTTGAGCTAGAGAGTCAAGGAAGTGGGCAGTGAATGAGACCTCGCCTCACAGACGGCTGCTGGGAGTCCAGTGCTGGAGGGCAGCTTTCTGCAAGTTTCGTGATGCAGATGGATAAACTCAGGACGCACAGTGTTTGAGAAGAGCTTGCAGCTTGTGAGTCTGCCCTGGCAGACTAGACCTGCAGGGATGGTGTTGTGGCTCAGGACATCCGTGTGCCCTGTGGAGGGGATGAGGGTCACACTGCAACTTAGCCAAGAGACCCAAATCAGCCCCTTAGGGCTGAAGCGAGGAGAAGGTGCCTGTGTAAACAGAGCTGTGTTTGCCTCTTGTTTTCTGGCTCACCAAATGTCAGTTAGATCCTCAGGAAGCCAATAATTTAAGGTGCTTCAACCTATAATTCAGAGGCTGTGTTCCCAGACTTGGCTGGACGGGGGTCCACCAACAGCCAGCTCTGCACTGCCTCTCCTGGAGGCCAGGCAGAGGGAGGGCAGCTGGAATATTATTCCCTCTGTTCCTTGGGGTGCATCCAAGTCGGTGAGAGACACAGTATCAAGATGTATAAAATCTGTTGAGACACAAACTCAGTGATCAGGCAGCAGTGTTTTGGCACCATCCCCCAGGGAGACCAGTCTTTAATAATCCCACTTCAAGGTATGTATAAAGTTTCATACACAAATAGTTTAACTATAGGATTATTTGGGTTTTTAAAAAAAATATCCAATAGTAGGAGCCTGATTTAATTAATTGGCATACGTGTAATGTGATAGTTCTTGCAGCCATTTGACATGTTATCATAAATCCCACCAATGGTTTGTATGATAAAAATCTTTGCAAGGGCATCCACTTGCTATTTATTATCTGCATTTGTTGGATTACCATGAGGGAACATTTTATTATGTGTTTACCAGTTCTGCTTATTCTTCATAATATACCTATTCAAATATCCATCTGCTTTTCTATCAGGATGTGTACCTCCTTACTGAATTTTAAGTATATTGTATTTTAAAACCATCTCAAACTTACAGAAAAGTTGCAGATACAATATAAAGAACTTTTTATTCCTGGAATTGCTTGTGATCTGATGCCCCACCACCCACCAGATACTCTGCTGCATATTTCTACATAAACACAACACCACCAGCAAAATCAGGAAACAAACATTGATATTTGCAACAGATTGTGTTTTACAAAAATAGTAGCAACAGTATCGTTTGCACCACATGTTCTTTGACAACATGACTTCAACAAGGCTGGGGGGCGCACAGTCTGTGTTTCCTTCCTCTTGAATCGGGGCAGGTTTGTGACTTGCTTGGAGCACAAGAAGGTCACAGAAATGACGCTGTGTGGCTTCAAAGGCCAGATCAGCAAAGGTGATGTAGCATCTGCCTTTGTTCCCTGAACATTCCTTCCTGGAGCTGAGAAGCTCCGAGTAAGAGTCTGATTCCCTGAGGCCACCAGACACAGGACATAAGTGGGTGCTCCTGCCAGCATCCAATTCTTTAGGAAATCAATTGTTTCTCTTTATCATTTGCCCAATCTGAGAAGCCTGTCACAGCAGCAGAAAACAGACTAAGGCTCTGACACTGTGTGCTAGGCTGCCTCCCCATAGGGCACCCTACTTATCACATTTGGTCTCTAATGCACTGCCTCATTCACTCATTAAACCGTTCCCCAACCCACCTCTCTCAAATCCAGCTCCTCGTAACAGGCACCTTCTGGGAAGAGGGCGTCCTCCTTGTTTTAAGTGCAGCACTTTCTTCTGGTATTAGTCTGTTACTATAATAAGATACCTGAGGCTGGTTACTTTGTCTCAAAAAAAAAAGAAGGCAGGATGGGAGGAAAGAAGGAAGGAAGGAAGCAAGCAAGCAAAAGAAGAAAAAAGAAAGAAAATGAAAGAAAGCTTTTTTTCTATTGGAATACATTACTGTAACAAACGTTTATTAATTATCAGCCGATTGCCAGGACATGTCTATATTAGCTGCTTTGGGTCTGTCAGTGAGCAAAGGTAAAAATCCCATTCTTCTGGAGCTCATAGTTTGAGAAGGGGAAAAATTCCTTCCAGAAGAAACTTTTCTGGATTCTTTGAATTGTCTTCAAATTACAGTAACATAAAACAGATTAACTAGAGAGAAACAAGTGTAATTCTAAAGGTACTCAGTGGGAGTCCCACAAACACATGAGACCCAAGGAGGCAGCCAGGTGGCTGGAGTTTATGCAGCATCCCGAGCTACGGAAGGGAATAGGAAGGAATTTGGGGGTTTGGGGCAGTGGTGCAGACAAATTATGGTAGTGTGAGGGGAGGTAAATACGTCTGGTAAATATCTGATGGATACTATGCCGATAAAAATCAAAAAAAGTCAAGTGATAAAGATTGTGCAGGATAGCTCTCTTCCTGGTACAGGTAAATGTATTAATGAAAATTTCCCTTACAAAAAAGATGAATACATTACTTATATTAGATCATTCAGGGAAAGTAAATAACTGACTTTTCTTGGGTCAGTTCTCAATTTCTTTGAGTTCAAAATAATATGCTAAATGTGGCATTTTTGGGGGTGACATGTCCTGAACCCCCTTAGGGGATAGATAATAAAGACATCAAATAAGTAAATGCTATAGTATATTAGAAAGTGATAAATGACATTGAGGGGGAAATCAGAGCAGAGTCAGGGAATGAGGGGTTCCAGGGAGATGAACTGGGCGGGAAGATCAGCTCCACCCTTGTCTTTTAGGGATTTAGTCAGGAGGTAAGCTGAAAGCCACTAACAGAAGGGGCCTTATTGCTGCTGGAAGTGACAACAGTTTCTCCTCCAATATTGAAATGGATACAGATTGAAATGGTCATGACTTTAATCAATGAATTGGAATCATTTTTTGGTTAAGCTCTGGGTGGCAGAGGTGGCTTGCATAAAGGCTGTATCATAAGAAATAGATGTCTCAGCATATTAGAACCACACTCAACCCATCAGGTCCTATAGGGTCCCAGAGGAGCTGAGGGGACACAGTTGTTCCTGGCTCCCTGTTGGGGATCCCAGGCTCCCAGCAGTTTCCTCGAGTGGTAGAGAAATGAACACACCACATCCCATGCACACACTGATGCCTGTTTCTTGCCCAGATACCCTTGTACACCTCTTCTCACGCACCTCTATGGGATCCGTCATCTTCAGGATTCCATTTCTGAGTGCAATACTGCCTTGCGGGAATGGCTTACCTTTTCCCCTCAGGGTTAACAATATTGAATGATTTTTTTTTTAAAGAAACCAATGTGACGCACCACTTTATTACACTCTGAACTGCTTATTTAAGTCACGCCATTAAACAACTGCTTTGAAAGGTAACACTAATTCCTTAATGATTCTCCTTGGTAGGTGTCCAGCCACCCTAGACTTCATAAGATTCTATTATTTGTTATGGCTTGGGTCTAGATGTCCCCTCAAAGCCTCATGCAATCATACATGAGGCTTTTTCAAATGTGGATGAATCTAGACTGTGTGATGCTGGGACTAACCCATGATGCAATGCTAAACTCAAGGGCAGTGGGGGTAAGGATGTGAGTGCTGCCACTTTGAGAAGCCTGGATAAGATACAAAGTTAGAAAGAGCTGTGGTTGCTGTTTGCTTGATTTTGCTGTCTACTGCTTGTCATGAACTGTTTCTCCTCCGTGATGCTGTTTTGCTAAGCTACCCTGCAATGGAGCCAGCCAAGTACGGACTGAGCCTCTACAAACTGTGAGTGTTACATAAACCTTTCCTCCTTTAACTTTGAATCCTGGGTATTTTGTCTCAGCAATGAGAAAAAAAGTAACTAAGTCACCATTTACGTTTCAGATTTTCCCATTTGCCCACAAAGTGGCTCGCAAATTCTTTGCTGAAATTCAGAGGCTGTAGTATGTTTTAAAGTGCTTAATAGTTATTGAATGTTCTTTCCTAAGCCCTTTGTATTTAATTTATATCTGGCCACAAGTCTCTGAAATATTGCAGCATTTCACACTCAGCAGCATTGAGGCCAGAATGGTCAAATGTCTCCCGTAAGGCTCCTCAGTGTGACACAGCCAGATCCCAGCTCTAGCAGCCTGTGTTGTTAATCACACTGTGGAGCCTCACTTTAGGAATAAAAATCTGGGGAGCAGAGAAACAAAATGGTCACATCCAGGAAATGTGCACATTCCCACAGTCATACTTGGAGAGTGCTCCCTTCTGCAGCTCCACACTAGGTCCTGGCAACCACAACTTCCTGAAGGAGCCTCCTGGCCAGCAGCAGCCAGAGGATGGCCAGGGTTGGATTTTCTCACACTTATTTGCACACAAATGACATCAGTCAGTAGCTCTGGAAGAAATGCCAGTTGCCACACTGGCATGTGAATATATCTCCTCGTCCCGTCCTTGATGCCACTGGTGTCTCCAGATGGTAACTCTTCAACCTCCTGAATTCTCAGCCAGCACCAGGTGACCTGAACACCTCCTGCCCATCAGCACAGATGCAAACACCACCTGAGTCCCTCTCTGCAAGGTGCTGCTTGGACAACAGGCAGCCTCTTCCTAAAAAGGACACTTAGGGTCCTGTAGCTTGTTGCCAACAAATGCTCATTTACAATGTTACTTTAAGTAGCTTTCATAGTCTATGTAAATAATTAGCCTGGCAAATATTTAAACACCTCCATTGCTGCATGTTCATGTTGTTTTCTGGGTTTTTTTTTGGTGACTTTTTGTTTCTTTTTTGTTTTTGTGTTGGTAGAGAGATTGATACAAGTAATGCTGAAACAGATACACTGTATATCATTTCTGAGCCCTAAAGCCAGGAGCTCAGAGGAAGAGGATGAACAGAAGGGAAGAAGAGAAACAAGGTTCTTGAGCTTGCTGCTGCAGAGAAAGGGTGGGGCCAGTGAAGGCTGCCTTTATCTGCTTCTACTGCCCTGGCTATTTGTCCCCAGCCACCAGCAGGGCTGCTCTGGGCCTTCCGGCTTGATCCTGTTCCTGGGATTCCGGTCAATGCCAAAATGCTGAGTTTCTATCCAGTTGCTTTCTTACCCAGAGTTCGCTTTTTTTTTTTTTTTTGAAACAGGGTCTTGCAAGTGAGCCTTGAACTCACTTATGGGCCCAGGCTAACCTGGAACTCACAGCAATCCTCCTGCCTCGACCTCCCGGGTGCTGGGATAACAGGTGTGCACCACCATGCCCGCCTCAGAGCCGCATTTTGAGTAAACTTCCATCACTGCAGGAGAGGCTGGTGGCCTGGTTTGTGGAGATCTGTGGAGGTCTGTGGTGCTGTGCCCACATATATCTGGCTCCTCGTCCTCCTCACGTGGAGCAGGGTTTTCCTTGCTCACCCCTTTGAAATGAACCTTGGCCATAAGCCTTGCCTTGTCACTCTTGGGCGTTGCTTTCAGAGCCAACTCATGGCTCTTCACACTCCTGCCCCCTGCCACGGTGCCCACCTTATGGGGTTACTCCCTCTGCCTCAGCCCCAGAGGAGACAGATGCAGGGTGGAGCCTCCAGCTGCTCCCAAGCAGTGAACTAAGGCCAGGGACAAAAGTCCAGCCTTGTTGCTTCAAGCTGCCAAGATCCAGAGTCCCATTATTACTGCAGCATCAAACATCCCAGCTCCTCGGGGCTGGGGATTTAGCTCAGTGGCATAAGCGCCTGCCTTGCAAGTAGGCTGTCGTGAGTTCAATCCCCGGTACCGAAGAAAAGAAAAAAAAAAAAATCCCAGCTCCTGGCCTCCCAGCCCAATTTTAGGACCTTGAATCAGTGTTTGTCACTTGAAGTAGTCAGTAGTCACCCCATTCTTCTAGAAAGCAACTAAGCTATATCAAATTTACCAAAGTCTCCACATGGAAATCAGTGTGAGGATTCCTCAGAAAATTAGCACTAGAGGTTCTGTTCAACCCAGCTATTCCCTTTCTTGGTATCTGCTCCAAAGAAATAAAAGCATCATATCACAGCGATACATGCACACCCATGTTTATAGCAGCACAGTTTGTAAAGCTGAATCTTGAGAACATCAACTGGTGAATGGATAAAGATTTTTTTTAATATATGCAATGGAGTACTACTGTACCAAAAAGATATGCTGGAGACATTTCTAAGTAAATGGATGCACCTTGAGACCATACTCTTAAGTGAAATAAATCAGACACATGTCTAAATACCACATTGTTTCTCTGGTTGGGAAACCAAAAGTGTAAATAAGGACCAAAATGTATAACAGGAAAAAAATATTCAAATGGGGATGGGAACGATGGAGGGGAGAAGGAGGAAGAAAAGATGGGAAATGTTAAAAAAAAATGAGAAAAGAAGGAAAACATGGAAACAAAGCTTCTGTAAATAGGGGAGGGATTGAAAGGAGGGTAGGGGAATGGGAGGAAAAAACCAAGATATCATGTACAGGTACAATTCTTTATGATGAATATGATCGTCATACATATCTAAAATGTACCAGTAAAATCTGATTGGAAAAAAAAAATTACCTGAACTCTGTCTGCTGTGTTCAGTCCTCGGAGGCTCTGAACCCAGACAGGAGAGGTTCCTCCAGGTTCCCTCTCTGCAGACGTGTCCACCGCATGCTTCCACTTCGCTGAGGACTCCTGGCTGGACCTCTGTGTTTGGAGCTGCCTGACCCCTCACTAACCACTCTGATGGTCCCGCGCTCACGAGGGCCGGTTTGCACCCATCTAGGCTCTCGCTCCCTGTTTGTGATGTGTCTTCTTTAGCGGGAAGACTGTTCGGAAGCCAAATCAAAGCTCAATGAGTCTGCTTTCTCCCCTTCACCTTGCTTATGTTACCACATCAAGATCTCCAAGCGCTTAACTTTTTTTCCTCCTTTCTCTGAGTAGTCCTTTAAAAATGCCTTTGTGTTTTATTTACACATTTTACGGGCCTCTGCTCACTCTGGATTAATCTATCTTCCCTAATACTGTTCTCTAGTATTTATTTAGAAGTTACATTATTGGGAAAAAATGCAAAAGTGACAGATATCCAAGATAAAAACTCCTCATGACTATATAAACTAATCAAACCAAAAATTCCCTTCCCGGTGTTTTCTAATTCTTTATTTCTAAATATTGGCCATAATACTATTTATAACAAACACTTAATTTAAAAAAGTATATATATATATAAAACATAGATACACAAAGGGAAAAAATCACAACCTACATTTCAGTGGATTAGTATAAACCAAACAGCAGTGTGCCACTGCCCTTCAAAGGTCAAAAAAGAAACAGTTCACATTTGGCATTCCAGAAGCTTCCCTTATCCTTTCCCCCTCTGCTCCCCTGGATAATGACAATCTTAATGTTACTCTCTTTGTGTGTGTGCATGGGCGTGTATGCATTTGTGTGTGTGTGTGTGTGCATGTGTGCGTGCATTTGTGTGTGCATGTATATGCATGTGTGTGTGTATTTGTGTGTGTGCGCATGGTACTGGAGATGGAGCCCAGAGCCTCACAGGTGCTAGGCAAGCACTCTCCCATGAGCTACACGCCTAGTTGTCTTTCTTACTTTTGTTTCTTACTTTATCCACTATCCCTGTATCCCTAAACTCCTGTATTGTTTTATCTGTTTTTAAACTTCATATAAGTGGGATTAAAAGTGTGTACCTTTATGCTTGCTTATTTTGATCCACACTACATTCATGATAGTCATGATGCCCACACTGTAGGGCATCATTCCCTAAACATATCAAAACATAATCGTTCATTCCATTTCTGATGGTCACTTGGTTTATTTTTGGTTTCTGCCTTTTGTAAATGATGCTGCTATGAGCATTATGTGTCTCTTGGTACCGCAGAATTAATAGAATGCATGCATTTCGGCTGGTGTACGCCTAGGAGTGAACTTAGGTCAGAGGCTGTGTGGATTCTCTGCTTTACTATACAATACCAGTTTTCCAGAGTAGTTGCATCAAAACATTAAAATCCCACCAGCAGCAAATGTCAAAAGACTCTCAATTATCTAGTCTTTTACCTTTATTGTAAATCACCAGTATATATACACCTGGAGTTGTTTCTGAACTTTTTACAGCTCTATTCCACTGATTAATCAGTTTGTCCTTACACCACACTATCTTAAGCCCTATAGCTTTATTATAACTTTTTTTTTTTTTTGTCTTTTTGCTTTTTATCGGTACCAGGGATCGAACTCAAGACTCCCTGCTTGCAAGGCAGGTGCTTATGCCGCTGAGCTAAATCCCCAGCCCCTTATTATAACTTTTGATGCTTTATTTTTTTTAAAGTTCCATCTTTTTCTCATTTAAGAATGGTGTAGTTGGGCTGAAGAATGTAGCCCAGTGGTAGAGCATTTACCTACATGTGAGAGGCTCTGGATTTAATCTCCATTCCTAAAAATAATGTGGCAATTATTGAGCCTTTCAGAATAAGCCTCTTAAGCCCTACACAAAAGGGAGATTTTGATTGAGAGTACATGTAATGGATAGAAGAATTTGGGCATAATAGACATCTTCACAGTGTTGCGCCTTCCAATCCATGAACATGGTAAATGTCTCTTACTTATTTTCATCTCTTTTGCTGTTTCTCCTGTTTGGAGGTTTACTTTGTAACAATTTATTAGATTTATTCTTAGGCGCTTTGCATTTTTTTGCTGCTGCAAATGTTAACTTTTGTTTCATTTTGTATGCTTTTCCTGACATAAGGACATGAAATTCTTGCATGTTGGCTTGTTTTTAATGGCTTACTACTCCTGTTCATTAATTCTCGAAATATATCTTGTTTTTTCTTTCTTTCTTTTTCCTTCCTGTGTGTGTAAGCGTGCATGTGTGTGTGTATGTGTGTGTGGTACTGAGGTCAAATCCAGGGGTGCTCCACCACTGGGCTGGGTCCCTTGTCCCCACCCTGCCCCTTTCAGTATGGGGATTGAATCCATGGCCTTTCCTCTGATCAGGCTGCGTCTTCAGTCCTTTACATGTTTCTTGTATTTTGAGGCAGGGTCTCACTGAGTCTCCCAATTGCCCGGCTGCGCTCAGTCTTGTGAGGTACTTGGCAGAAGTTGCTGATAAAACTGTCTAGATCCGAAGAGGTTTTTTTTAACCAGAGGTTTTAAATTGTGGATTAAATGTACCTTATAGTTACCTATTTTGCTTTTTGTTTCTTTTTGTGTCACTTTCAATAACTTGTGTTCGCCAATGAACTTGTCCACTTTACCACTTTTTTTCTTTATGGTGGAACTAGAGAAAATGGAGAGATTCCCATTTTCACTGCATTTACCTTGTCCACGGTCACACTGATTATCCTTTAATGTGCTCAAGGGCTACTTTTCGGGTTTTTTTCCTTAGTCAAGTAAGTGGCTGCTAGCAAACTAATGAAAGAATTATGCAAGAAAATTAACGGAAACAGAGACAGAAATTTTGAGGTAATTGAGCATAAGAAAGTTTCGGGAATTAAAGAAACTATAAATGTTAGTATTAAATGCATGCGGGCTGTTAAAAGGCAGATTAGCTACCAGAAATTGAACTAATGGTGCAGAAGATCAAGATGCAGAGACAGCTTAGGGTATGGGAGAACATGTAAACACAGAATCTACTCTCACTTCCGCCTGCATCTCACTTGGAAATGTGCCTGTCCTCCCAATTTTTGCCTACATTTTAAATATATTTAGGAGGATTGTCATGAGTTCGAGACCCGCCTGGGCTACATATAGAATTCAAGACCCGCTTGAACTACATAGCAGGAAAAAAAAAAACGAGAACATTTCGGAGACGGGTACCTTGGATGCTATACATGTCCCTACTCCCTGTGCTTTCAGAAAGCAAACGTGAGGAAGCGTAGGAGAGAGAGTTGGGACCACTAGGACTGGGGTCCCCAGGTAGAGAACAGGAAGGGGCCTTGTCTGCAAGCAGGATCTGCCGCAGAATGTGAGCCTGGCTTTAGCAGGCACCCTCTTCCTTTTTCGAGGGAGCAGGTAGAGCAGGAAGAGCGTCAGCACTGGAATCCGTCTCCCCTGGCTCTGACTCTGCCTCCTACTGGCCTGCAAGAGACCCAGGCGAGCCCCGTGGCCTCTCCATGCTTGTTTTTGTTGGTGGTGTTGTTCTGTTTTCACTGCTAAAGTGGATTGTATTATTATTTCCAGATCTTTTCCACCCTTCCCCGGGAGGATTATGCATTCCCACCCCACTGCCTGAAGGTGTGGTCATCGTAATTTGTGTGAGTCGGTGAAATGTGAGCAGAAATGACAGGCGTTGTTCTAGGCAGAAGCTTTAAGAGGCTGTACACATGGGCGCCATCAGTCCTCTGCTGGCCAAGGAAGTTTTCCAAGGTAGTCTGAGCCCTGCAGAGCTGCTTCTGAGCTTCTTTGGTGGGGGAGGGGGGAAGATTTATTGAACTTTGTCTTTATAAATCACAAAACAATAATGACTTAAAACAGAAGGTTACATTTCTTTTATGGGCCTCATAAGCAGGCAGCCTCTTGAGTTGCCCCCAGTTCTCTGATCTGTCATGTGTAGGATATACGTGACCCTTATCCTCATGGTCCAAGATGGCTACTAGAGCTCCAACCATTGTATCTGTGTTTCAAGAAGTAGAATATAGGTGAGAAAAAGAAAGTCCACCTTGCCCTTTAAGGAGACTTAACAGAAGTCACATACGATAGTAAGGTGAGAGGAAGAGGTAGATTTAGAAGAAAAAGAGGGGAAGAAAGAAGAGGAACAAAATGAGATGGAGAATAATCAAAATCACTGCACCAAAGTTAGTGACCCTTAGTTACAGAACAAGTGGGCAGCAATAAACAAGGCCTCCACTGTATGTCCACGTCCTTTGTGGGCCTGCAGTCTGACCCCAGGAGGAGGCAAGATTGGAATCTGGGCTCTTTGGTTTCTATTTCCTAGAGAATATACTGAGGTTTGCTTGTTTTTGAGACAGAGTCTTGCTATGTAGTACAGGGTGGCCTTGAACTCATTATGTAACCCAAGCTATTCCTGAACTCATAGCAATCCTCTGATCTTCCTGCCTCAGCCTCCTGAGTGCTGGGATTACAGGTGTACGCAACCCTGCCCAGCTCTCCTTGAGAATATAAAAGAAACACTGGAGATCAAGCTAGAGACAAGTCCTCTGTGAGGTGAGTGCAGACCTTTCCAGCCAGGAGGGAAAGCCCAAGGTCAGAGCTGGAAGGTGAAGGGCAGGACTGTGCATCAGTCAGGGTGGGCATGGAACAAACAGATGCCAAGCATCTCATCAGGATGCTGTCTCACGTGTCCAGGGTCGGGTTTTAGGTTGGTACTGGCTCTGCTCTATACTGTAGGGTCTGCTGGCAAGTGAGAGACGAAAAGAACAAGGTTTTCTTTCTTTTTCTCCTCCACTCTTCCTATTTTGCCTAGCTTGCTTGCATGTTTGCTTTCTCTTTCTTTCTTTCTCCCTTCCTTCCTCTTCTCATTTGTTTATGGTACTAGGGATTGAATCAAGGGCCTTTGCACTGAGCTGTGTCCCCAGGCTCCCACCACCACCCTGCAATTTTAAGGCAGTGTCTTGCTAAGTCGCCCAGTCTGGGCTTGAACTTGTGATCCTCCTGTCTCAGCCTTTCCAAATGCTGGGATTATGAATATGTGCCACTATTCCCAACAAGAACAAGCATTTTTAAAAAGTCGTTATAGAAGATTTAAAACACATGCATTATGAACCACTTTCAGAGAAGTACAGACTTTCTCTTTGCCTGTCTATGCTATTGTTTTTTTGTTTTGGTTTCTTGGTACCAGGCATCAAACTCTTGATCTCTGCCATGCAAGCACTTATGCTGCTGAGCCCCCGGCCCTCTGCTATTTTCTACCTCTCTTTATAGGCAATCATTTTTTTGAAAATCCTTTCAATTAAAAAAAACTTGTGTATGTAAGTGGTGCCTGTGTGTGTGTGTGTGTTTCATTCCCTCCTGTCTCTTCCTCCACCCTCCCTCCCTCCCTTAGTTCCTTCCTTTCTTTTTCGTTTTTGTTTTTCACTTTTGTGGTGCTACTGATCAAACCTAGGGCCTTATCATTCCTGCTAGGCACACTGTACCACAGAGCCAAACTGCAGCCCACTTTTTACCTTTTTCATGTACCCCTCTATCTTGGCGACCACCCCAAATCAACACACAGAAATAATCCTCATTCCCTTTATTAGCTGCATAGTACTCCACTGTGCAGATGAGTCATAGTCTGACTAACCAGGCCCTGACTGATGGATATGTGAGTGGTTTCCAGCCTTTTGCCAGTACAAATTTTGCTGTAACAAGTGGCTTGCTGGATATAGCCTTGCCACTGTGGTTTGGGGATAGGTTTCTAAAATTAGGATTGCTAGGTCAAATGGTAACCATGTGTGATTTTACTAGTCATTACCCCACTCCTCTCAGAAGGCAACAGACTGCCATTCCCCCCCCAACAACACAGGACAGTGCCAGGCCCAAGTAGGACTCCTGAAGGTCATGTTTTATAGATGGGAGGATGACAGTTCAGGGCATTAAAAACCTTGCTCAGCTCAAACAGCTGGTCGGTTAACAGGGCTGGAACTTGGAGCCAGGCAAGAAATGCTTATCCAGAACCAGGAGATTCATGTATTTTTTTTTATTTGATGCTTCAGGAGACTCAGAGCATCAATTTTTCCATTTTCATGCTAAAATGTGATTGAGTTGGGATAAATGTGCCCTGCTATTAGCTGCTTCTCCGGAGACAGTCATCTGAGGGAACACTTGTCATTTTCCGCTTTGTAATAAAATGACTCAGCATCCTTCAGAATGCTTTTAGAGAGAGCAGCGCTCCATCCCCGTGGAGAAGACGGAGGGGAGAAGCTGAGTGTGGACTCGCTGGCCTGGGCACATCCTTCACTCTGTGTCACTTTCACCCAGTCCTGTGATGTGTGTGTGTCACTGCCTCCTCCTCATCAGCCAGGGAGGTAAAGCTCCCACTGGGCCTGAATTTCCAGCTCACAACAGAAGAGACTTGCATGACATAAAGGAGAACCCTCCGGATGGCTGAACAGTGTCTTAATTACTCTTCTTGTTGCTGAGGCAAAATACTGGGCACCCACAGTTAAAGGAGGACAGGGTTATTTGGCTCACAGTGTGTGGAGGCTTCAGTCCATAGTCAGCTGACTCCAAGGCAGGTGGCGTGGCAGAGGAACATGACAGGAGGAGAAACCGTCCACAGCAGGCAGGTGAGAACACATTAGCTCTCCTTCTGTTCCTTATATCGTATGCAGGCTGTCTGCCCAGGGTGGGTGCAGCACTCACTCAGCCCCTTAATCATAGCCAGGACTATGCCAAACTAATAGTGGACTGATCTGGTAATCACACACCCATGTTCCCAGTCCCATACACACTAGATCCAGACACCTCTGCAAAGCCCCCTCTGGGACTGCATGAAGCTTTGTGATGGGATGGGAATCTAGACACAGATCATAACAGATGTCCCACGATTTTTTTTTTTTTTTTTTTTGGTAGCACTGGGGACTGAACCCAGAGCTTCCTGCATATTAGGCATATCCACCATTGAGCTACATCCCCAGCCTTTTTTTAGTTTTATTTTGGGACAGGGTCTTGCTGAATTGCTCAAGCTGGCTTCAAACTTCAGATTCTCCTGACTTAGCCTGGAATTACAATGACTGGAATTACAGGCATGCAGCACCACACCCTGCCCAGTAACTGCCTTCTCTTAGGGAAACTTTCAGAAGGCTCCTCCAGGGCCCTTCACCTCCGGGTTCATGTACCCATGCTCTAGGCTGGGGCACTCATCTCCGTGGCTGTGGCACACAAGCCACCACCCTCTGATCTGCACCTGTGTCCCAGCCTCAGAACTCTCCTCAATATTCTGGCTCAGGTAACCTAACGTGGGGGACAGAAAACACTTCCCTTCAACTGTCTTCCACATTCTGCATTTTGTATGCATGGAACCTGGGGCTTAGAGACATCATTCACTGCGTTAGTGACAAAGCCAAGTGGGAACTCTGGACTCTGGATGCGTACAGTCAGACTCCTGAACACAGTTCAAGATTAGGGTTCTGATCTAACTGAGCAAGGGGTTTTAAAGGTCCCTAGTAGTCTCTATTGTAGGCAAGGCTAAAGACTACTTAGGTTATCTCCCTCTAGTAGCAACACCAACTATATTATCTTATTATCGTTCTCAATCTAGGACATTGAGAAAGAAGTAAGGAAAACAATCCATTTACAGTAGCTTCAAAAAAATTAGATATCTAGGAATCAACCAAGGAGATAAAAGACATCTAATAATGAAAATTGCAGAACTCTGAAGAAAGAAAATAAAGAAGACCTTAAAAAATAGAGAGGTACTCGAACAACTATTTCTAGTTTTTTTTTTTATTTAAAGAAAGATAAAACAAAATAGAAAACGGGCAGAAATAGTACATACTTTCAAAGAAAAGAAATAAACAGTAATAAATCACTAGTTGATGTATACATATTTCCCCCCATAAATAGTTGTTCAAGATACACAAGTAAAACATATAAATGGGAATTCAACCAGGGAGACTGCAAACAATTCTGTCGAACAACTATTTTTAAGAGGACAATATGTAATTTATCAACTAGCGATTTCTTATTTAAAAAATTCTGTATTATTTTTACCCTTTTTCTGTTTTGCTTTTTTTTCCTCTTTAAATAAAATTTAAAGAAACAGAGGCACCCTTTTTTCTTGCATTCAACGAAATATCATGAAAACAGAAATGGTACCAAAAGTGATCTATAGATGTAATGTGATCTCTATTAAAATAATTACAAGATCCTCCACAGAATTCTTTTTAAAAATCCTAAAATTCATATGGAATCAGAAAAGATCCCAAGCAAATTTTGGACAAAAGCAACAGTGCTAAAGCCAGGCATGGTGGTGGCACATGCCTGTAATCCCAGCACTCAGGAGGCTGAGGCAGGAAGACTGTTGTGAGTTTGAGACCAGCCTGAGCTACCAAGTGAGCTCAAGGCCAGCCTGAACTGCATAGGAAAATCTTGTCTTAAAAAAGAAAAAAAAAAAAAAAAAAGGAGCAATGTTACATGCCTCACCATACCTGATTTCAAATTATACTGCAGAGCTGTAAGAGTAAAACCAACATTATAATGGCACAAAACAGACACACAGACCACCAAAATAGAGCAGAAAACAGAGCAAGGGTGCCACGTCTTTTGGGGTCAAAAACGTGCCCTGGAGAATAGATGATCTCTTTCATAAATGTTGCTGGGAAAGCTGAATATCTACTTGCAAAAGATCAAAACTAGACCTATATGTCTCACCCTGGACTAAAATCAAATAAAAAAAGAGCAAGAACTTAGACGTAAACAAACACTTTGAAGCTGCTGGAAGCTACACAGGGGAAACACTTGGAGCCTAGGCACAAGCAAGGACTTCCTGAATAGAGCTCACACAGCACAGGAAGTAGCGTAAGAATCAACAATTGGGATCAGCACATGAAAAAGCTTCTGTGCAGCAAAAGAAACAACCAGAGAGAAAAGACAACCGACTGAACGGGAGAAAATTGTTGCTAGTCACTTTTCTAATAGAGGGCTAATATCTAGAATATGTAAAGAAAATAAAAAACTAAATGACCCTGAAAAACAAATGACTCGTTCAAAAAATGGGCAAATGAAGTAAAAAGACACTTTTCAAAAGAAGACAGACAAATGGCCCGTAAATACTGTACATGCAAAGAACATTTGTCATCCTTAGCCATTGGGAAAATATGAATCAAAAGGACTCTGAGATTCCATCTTACTCTCATCAGAATAGCTGCCATCAAGGACACAAAAAACACGAGTACAGGTGGGTATGGCTTACATCTGTAATCCCAGACCTTGGGAGGCTGAGGCAGGAGGATCACCACAAATCAAGGCCAGTCTGGGTGACACAGCTAGTTCAAGGGCAGCCTGAACTACAAATGAGACTCTGTCTCAAAATTAATTAGATAATTAATTTAATTCAATAAGGAAAAAAAATCAGTGAAGACCGAAGAAGACGGGGTGGGTAGTGAGGGGACAGATGCGTCTACACTGCTGGTGGGAATGTAAACTGGTATAGTTGCCATGGAAATGAGTATGGAATTTCCTCAGAAACGAAAACCAGCAATACCATCTGACCTAGCTGTACTCCTGGGTATATTTTCGAAACAATTAAAGACATCATTGCATAGTGACACCTGCATACTCGTGTTTACAGGTATGCAATTCACAGTTGCTAAGCTCTGGAAACAGCCTAGCAACCCATCCATAAGTGAACTGATAAAGAAAATCTATATACACCAGAATAGTATTCATCCATAAAAAAGAAGCCATGTCATTTACAGGAAAATGGATGAAACTTAAGACCATCATATTAAGAGAAATATGCAAGAATCAGAAAGTTCAATATCACGTATGTTCTCTTATAAGAGAAAGCTAAGAAATAAACAAATGAATAAAACAAAGGACAGATAATAGGAAACTCAAGGTAGACTTTTGGGATTAGGGGTTGCAAGGGGATTAGGGAAAGGAGGAGTGATGGGAAGGCAGGAAAAAGGATTGAAAATAAACAAGGTATGTGATATGAATGTGACAGCTCCCCAAAACAGACATCACTATTCTGTATTACAGATATGCACACACGTACAAATTATCCAGGGTCATTTGTTAAACAGACAATGTATGTTTGTAAGTGTCTAAACACTCCCCAGAAAAGTCTGGTTCGGAAGGTCTAGGCTGGGCCCCAGCATCTGCATCTGACTTGGAGCCTCGGGGAGGTGCGCAGGGGAGCTCTGTGGCGGGGGCTGTGGCCGGAGGGCCCCGAGGATGAGGCTCCTCTGCTATTGAGCATGGAGAGGCCAGAAGGGGCCCGGGCTTTATCTTCCACAATAGCTGCAGAGATGTCAGTGCATTCACCACTGTTTCAGTCTCCAGTCTAGATTATTACATGATCTGTCTCAACAATTCATAAGAATAACATCAGCCTCATGCCTGGCTTATCAAGGAAAAGGGACAGCAAGGAGACAGAGAAAGTGGAACACAGAGGGAAGAATGAAATGAAAATTATTTGTCTACTTGAGACCAGCAATTTTCTCTAATGTTCTGCTCTGTTGTTTGGCTGTCCTTCTGAGAGCTCAAGGACCTTTTAAGGTGGAGCAAAGCTGGGGGTTGTGCTGGAGGGAGCCCATCAGTTTTGTGTAGAGACAGCCAGAAAGGGCCAGGAGGGGTCGGGTGCCAGTGTCAAGGCCCCACTGCACACCGTCTGGTCTCAGGAGAGGAGGAAGGAACTGAGGTGCTGAAAGTGCCCCACATGTCAGATGCTGCACGAAAATTCCACAAAGTACCCGTCACTTTACAGGTGAATAAACTGAGGCTCAGAGACATCATTCAGTCTTTGGCTTCATCCAGGAACTTCTCACTCTAAGAAGAAATTAGAATTTAATCCAATTCCCAAAACTACCAGGAAAAGCCAGCCAGGCAGAACATTGGGGTGAAAACATAGTTGGCATTTTAAAAATGACAACTAGAGTCATTTTTTTCAGTCATACATATTAATGGAGAGAAGTGGCCCAGAGAATTACAAAGAGCAGATTTAGCTACATTTATTTGTCGGTGAGCTAATGCTAACATAGAAGTCAAATCCAGAGCATGTAAGAAATGGGACTGGACTTAAGGGCAGACCAGGGACAGGCACTAAAAGCCATTTAAAAAATGTGCACAGTCCAGCAGCCATTGCGCCTCTAGGAACATGACCTACCAACTAGCTGGGAAAGTTGTATGAGGCAAAGAAGGTAGTGCAAAAGAACATTGTTCACAACAGAGAGAGAGTGTGTGTGTACATGTGTGTGTGTGTGTGTGTGTGTGTGTGTGTGTTCCTGAGAATGAACCCACACCAGGCAAGTGCTCTGCCACTAAGCTACACCCCAGTCCTTTTCCTCTTATTTTGAGATAGGGTCTTGCTATATTGCAATCCCCTTGCCCTCCTCAGAAGCTGGGATTACAGCTTGTTTACAGTTTTGGAAGAAGAAAAGTATTCAATAACTGACTTTATTACTTATAGCACAGGCATGTGAGCAAAAAATTATACAATTACGAAAAGCAGCATCGTGGACACATGTATGCTGACACAGAATGCAGTTCATCAGACATTTGCTAAGAAAAGCTGTGTTGGAGTAGCTGGAATGATAGGATTGTGGTAGTGTTAAAGAAATGATATTCCAGAAATTACAAATTGTCAGATTACTATGTTAGATATACACCAAAATGTTGGCAGTGGATTATTGGATTATTATTTCCAGACAGGAAGGGCTAGAGATCATTTTATTTAGCTTTTTTTGTTGTTGTTTTTGGGGTTTTCTTTGCCTAATTGTTTTCTGATTTTGTTCCTTCAGGAAACTTGTTACTTGTGTGATTCAGTGAAAGTTTAAAATGTCTTTCAAAGAAAAATGCCTAAGTGAGCCTGCAGAACAGACTGTTGTCAAAGTTTCTCCAGGAAGAAACTCCTCAATGGGCCACAGGAGGGGGCTGGCCCCTTAGGAGGCAGAAGACACACATCCTGGAGATGGGATGAGATGGGGCTATCAACATCCCTGCTAAGAGGCATCCAAGGTATTGGGTGTTGATCTGGGTGGTCCTAAGCCTGGGGTGGGGTCTGTGCTAGGAACTGGGGAACAGGCACTTAGGAGCCGGGAGAGGACTACCGTTCCTCAAAGATAGCCCATGTTCCTGCTGGCTGGTCAGGCTGATACCCCAGGCAGGGGTGGTTCTTCAAGGAAGCCATGTGGAGCCTGAGACCAACGGAGGCAGCTGTGTCTTTGTGCCCAGCAAGAGGGACACGGAGACCAGGCAGGGTGGCCAGAACAGCCATCTGGGATGCCTGTGGGCTCCAGCTGTCCTAACCCGCATTCATCTACCATTGCTGCTGAACAAACCACCGTAAACTTCATACAACAAACTTCTGTCTTAAGTTCTGAAAGCCAGAAGTCTAAGAGCAGGGTGGTGTACTGTGGCCCTTCTAGAGGATGCAGGGGAGAATCTGTTGTCTTACTGTTTGAGCTTCTAGGGGCCACCCTGGATCTTGGGCTCTTGCTTGTCTCCTCTCCCTCTGCTCGGTCCCCTCACTTCCCCTCCCTCCTCCCTCTTTAAAGATGCTGAGACTTGGACCGCGGCTACGACCAGGTAAACCTCCCCACCTCAAAGCTCTTTTTAAATCGTACCTATAAAATGCCTTTCCAAGTAAGGTGACATGGTCACAGGTTCTGGGAGTGGGATGTGGACATCTTTGAGGCCTTTTTACCCCGCTGACCACATAACACAAGAGGCCAGGCATTATTTCCCCCTGGGAACAGAAGGGGCCTTGGAGAGAGCAACTCTGTCCTTTCATGTGAAGTTACTGGAGCCCACAGGTCAGTGAGGCTCTGGGATACTTAGGGTTCAGTATCAGTGGGGAAACCAATACCCATGAGGAACCGAGGCTACAGGCCTCTCCAGCTTTTCTCCATGCTGCTGTGTGTTTTACTCAACTGACATTAGAAAAAGAGGAGGATTGCTGTCATCTTTTGTGGTGTCTTTTTTTAAAGCAGAGAACAAAATCTACCAGATCATTCATGGGGGTTTGCTTTGCAAGAGAAAGCCCTGAGTATGAGTAGCACCAGGAACTTTCTGTTCTTCTAGGCTCTTTGAAAGGTTCTTCTTTTATCTCAGGGAAAGGAATGTGGAGCCAGGGGAATGGAGGGCAGGAGTCACGAGTTCCCCATGCATTTTTCTGAGGTTGCTTGGCTGCTGATGGCTGCTGGTGGTTACCCTTGGGCCACATCCACAGGAGGAAGCCCCTCCTCTTGCCTCCAGGCCTGCAGGTGAAGAACCAGCATTTGAGGAGGAAGAGGTTTCTCTGTATGGCCTCTCACCTGGTTACTAGAATCCCAGAACCTGACCATACATTTTTAAGTTTCTACTGCACCGCACTCCCTGCCCTGATGCCTGGGCCTCAGCAGGCCAAGTTCTCTCAACTAATAGGGAAAACTGCAAAGCCCCCAGCACGGCCCAGGCGTGCTTTCTGGGCTCTGTGTGAGGATACCAGAACCCCAGGAAACCGGTCGTTAAGGAGGCAGCAGCTGGCTGCTGCCAAGTTAGATAATAAGTACTTGGACTTTCCCCGGTTTACCTTGTGTTAAGTACACGAAAATGATGTCATTTAGGCACTGTCCAGCAGGCTCAGTGGACAGGGTCCAGGGGCTGCACTCCAGTCCCATCTGGAGTGCTCCCTGTCCTCTCTGGTCACACTTCCTCCCATTACGGGTGAGCTGTGGGGAGAGTCTCAAGGCTAATCAGTGGCACAGAAGAAGGGGCTGAGGGATGGAGACAGGGATGCTGGGAGAGGCCAGGAGAGGCTTCCCTGGGGCTGCAGGCAGTGAGCACAGCCTCCCATTGACCCGGGCTCTGCCACGCTCTCCTTACCTCCCTCTGGCTGTGGAGAGGTTCCCTGAGCTCAGCTTCTCCAGAGTCAGCGAGGCAGAGAGAGACAACCGTACCCTTGGCCCAGCAGACATGCAAGTGGACCAGCAAGCAGGTGGTCACACGACCCTGGGAGAGTGGTCAGGTCTGGGTTCAGGAAGGTACTCAGCACTGGGGAGCCTGCTCCAAGGAACACAAAGGAAGGAATAAGGGTTTTCCCAACAGCCAGGGCAGATTTGCACTATTTACTGCAGCCCCTGGCTGGTATCCTCTGAACTGGTCCCAAGTGGGCTATGTTGGAAGGGTCTGCTGATCAAGAATTTGGATCCATCCAAAGAACGTGGGGACAGAAGATTTGGAATTCCCAGCCTGGCTCCCAGTCCATGGCCTCCTAGAAGCCAGGTCCTCTGTATTTTCTGAGTATCTGTCCTGTATATTGACCCCATGCGGCAGAGACACCAGAAGGGCTATTACCAGCAAAGACAGAGTGTGAGGGCCCGCAGGATGGGCGGAAAGGGTTCGACCAAGCACCTGCCAGATACTAAACCCTAAGTATATGTGCATGTTGTGAGTGAGGGGTTTACAGGAGGAGTGAGACTCTCTTTCAGAACTTTAGGGGACTCTGTCCAGTTCAGAAAACAAACATAACCATCCTTCAACTCAGTCAGAGATACAGGCTCAGCTGAGAACTCAGGTCAGCCTTGTAGACAGCCATGCCTACTGAGGGATGGCATCAAATTAACAATGGCCAAAGTAGTCCCCTACCCATCACCACACCCCTCCCACAAATGGCCAGCTCCCACTCTACACACTTTACACAGAGGACATGAGAGGTATGGTTGAAACATGGTGAATGCTTAATTTTTAAAAAATCATTACAGTAAAAGTTTTATCTCCATTAATCCTCAGACTCTTCCCCCTCCCTTCAAACGTACTTATCACATTGTTCTGGCCACTTTGCAAAGCAGCTCTGGAAGCCCTCTTGCATGAGTATCATCATCACTTGCACTGTTGTGGCTGCTTCAGGTCCTGAACTGATTCAAAATACTAACCATTCATGGTAATTTTGACTTTGAGGGAGAACTAGGAGTCAGTGCCAGACCCCATGAATAAGGTGGATTAGAGTGTATTATAACATTTTATGAGCCTGCCTTTCTGTTGGATGGCACTCGCTGCAGCATGTGCTGTAGCATTGATTATTGTACCTTGTAAAGACAGAATAGAGAACTTACAGAACGGCTTTGGAGTGGCAGGTATGGTGGGATGAATGTGTCCAAAGCAAGGGGGATGATATTGATATGCAATATGTATTCTACTATAATAAACTCTTAATGTAAATATTCACTGTTTTTTGATCACTTGTATTTGTCCATGAAGGCGGGCAAGTACAGTGGTCCCTTGGTTCACGAACTTAATTTGTTCTAGGAGTTTGAAAAAGATGGGCACGTCTGTTTATGTGGGAAACGTGGCAGTGGCTGTGTTGGTCACCAGACACAGAGCTTGCAAATGAAAACAAATTTTGCCAAATATTTCTGTCTGCAAATCAAATTGTTTGCAGACAAAAGTGCTGGGGAACTGAGGTACCACTGTCCCGTAAGCACTCTGGGTGCCAGTTTTGTTCCTGTTGAACAGGCGTACATTATGAACTTCTTGAAGACTGAAGAACTTCCACGACAGCCCTTCGTACAGATCTTAGTTTCCTAAGAACAAGTAACCTAGGTTCGTGGTCATGGTACCCATATCTCCCGCTCAGTACCCGTATCTTACTGCTCAGCTGCTGAGTCCCGTGGCCATACAGTGTCACTGAACTGGCCTGTCCTGCTGTGGTTACCCTGAAGTGGAAAGCTAGCCTGAACCTGGAAGTCACCCTGGGCAGGCACAGGGAGTGGCACGTCCTGGTTCCTGAGTCACTGCCCCACTCCCCTGGCTCGATGGCAGGAGCGGCCACTTCCTCCAGCCAGGCTGGCCCAGTCATCGCGCTGCCTATAAATAGAAGAGCGAGATTCCTCGTGGCCCAGTGAATGGCGCGGACATCCTGCCTCTGCCTGACTGAGCCCTGAGTCACAGGCCCCTGCCGGAGGCCCACCCGGGGCGGACCAGGCGTGCAGCCTGACAAGGCCTCAGAGGAAGCGTTGGGGCGGCCCCAGGGTCCCCAGGGAGGCTGAGTGAGGCTTAAAGAAACGCGGCTGGCATTTCCTCCCTGGGAGGCCCGCCAGGGCCGCACTCTGTCCTGCTCTTGCTCAGAAGGGAGCGTTCGGAGGGTCCAGTGTGTGCCTGGGTGTGCGCGCGCGCACCGTGGAAAAGGGCCCAGCTCCAGGAAGCTCAACAGCTTCTGCTGAGTCTGTTACGAAGTGGATTTTCCTAATTCCTCTGCTCTTCTAGAACCCTTATTCATTAAAAAGTCAGAAAGAAGACCCTCACAGATCTGCCCAGAGGAAAACTGATGGGAATGCTGGAAAACTGGACTCCATGGGCCACGTGACAAGAAGGGCAGACAGATCTGGGACAGGAATCTGTGGCAGGATGCAGCCAGGGAACTCCAGCCATCAATGTCATTCTATCCAAGAACTGCAGGAATGGACATTCTTCTGAGCTGGCTGGAGTCACCAACTCGTTCTGGTAGGGGAGAGCAAAAGGAACCTTGCAGCCTCTATCCATCAAAAAGAGGCCCGGTAAGGGGCAGTGTGGTGGCCCTGGCCAGCACATGCCCACTGGCAATGCTTAATCCGAATGCAGTCTGCTCTGAGCCATCTGTGCCACCACCCCAGCCAGTAGGTTCTCCCCTCCTCTTGGAACATCCGCCATCCCCACCCTAGTAACCTCACCCTTAGCTTCTGGAGCACATTTCATTTTGTTTTCTCATTCATTTCTTTCTCAGCCACTGGACCACATGCTCCACGGGTGTGAGGCATGTGTCAGAGTTTACTGAACAAGGAAAGGAATATAGGCACACATTCATAGGTACATGCACACATGCATGCGCACACACACACACACACACACACACACACACACAGGGATCTTGCACAGCTTAATAAGTTGAAGCAGCTCACTCCTGTCACCTTCAAATTGCTCTCCCACTGGGACAGAAATTCCAGCTGTGCAGTTAAATTTTTAGCAGCTCTTCCAGGAGGAGTAAGACATTTTCCTGATCCACAGGTAGGCATCAGTGATTTCTCAGTTCAGAGGGACTAGGGCGGGAAAACCTACTTCTGCTCAGGAGCGGAAAGTCAATTCTGCCCCGGTTGCAAAGCCCCAAAAGTTTCCTATTGTCTGTAAGTTGAAGCTCGGTTTTACCGTCTTGGTCAATCCTTGGGGCTGCTGGGAAGTTCCACATTCTCCTAAATACTCCATTTTCTTTTATGTCTCTGGCCCTGTGAGTTGATCCTTCCCCCGGAGGGTACTGAGCCCCTCTTGCTCTGTCACATCTCTTACTTACCTTGCAAACTTCTAGATACACTTCAAGACTCAGCATGCTTTCATGTCCTTGCAAGACTGTGGGCAACATCAACAGTTTCTATTCTTCTCCAATTCATTCTCAAAATGCACAGATGTAGCAGACTAAGGAACTGGCAAGGATCTTAATGACCTGCAGAGGTCCCTAAGTCAGAGGCAGTTGGAAACATGTAGGTCTTTTCTTGATTGCCACAGTGATGGGCGCTGTGGCCAGCATTTAACAGGAGGGGTCCAGCAACGCTAACTAGGATGCACTGTCCCTCCCCAAAGAGTGACAGCACCCCACCAAAAGATACTAAGCTGCCTCCTGTGGCATAGGGAGGCCCAGGCCAGGTCTTGTCATGGTCACACAGCAATTTGGACACCAAGGAACTCTGGGCTCACTCCCCTTGGGAGCACTCACCTCCTGGGAGTAGCCCCTTGATCTTCCAAATCCTTCCACCCTGGCTTGGCCAGGGCCACACTGCCAGCACATGGAGGCTGTGGGAAAGGCACTGGGAATGCCCTGCAGCTCCCACCACCTGCTGTACCTTCTCCTTCTCTTGTTGGCAGCCAGATGGCTAAGGAGACCACAGAGTGGAAAATTGGGCTTGGAAGGTGGAAGCAGAATTCCATAACTACCGTGTCCTGTGAACATACAGGTTCAAACATAAAGAAAGCCACCTTTTTAATCTATACCTGGACATAAGTGACCACAACAGTGCACAGCCCAGCTTGACCAGGGGAGGTGGTGAAGGAGAGACAAGACCAGTGTCCTTTAGATCAGTGCCCTCCCCCTGCTCTGCAAAGGCCTGGCTATCTTTCCCCAGATATCCCACCCTGATCCCTACCACAGGCTGCAAGGCATCTGCTACAAATGGAAACTTATACATGAAAAGAGACAATAGGGTAACAACCCCACATCTCTATCACTCAATTGAGGCCACCGTCATCCTGCTTTATCCAGATCCACACTCCCCCATCCTCCTCTCCCAAGTCTTATTTTGAAACAAACCAGGCATGGCATTATTTCACCCATAAATATTTTTGTGTGTTTCTGAAAGATTTGTTTCTTACTAAAACTCAAAGAACCATAATCTGTACCATATCACACCAAAAAAGTAGTAACTCCTATTATTATTTCAAAACAAAACAAACCACAATAGCAACAACCTAATGGCTGGGGATTTAGCTCAGAAGCATAAGGGCCTGCCTGGTCATGAGTTTGATCCCCAGTATCCCCCCCCCCCAAAAAAAATCTGGTCAATCTTCAGACCTTTAATGATCACATAATGAATGATCATTTGTTGAAATTTAGGTATAAGTAAGGTCTACACATTATGATTGGTCAGTATGTCTTTGTGTCTTTTTTTAGTCTAGAGATTTTTTTTTTTTTTTTTGGTCTCTGGTTAATTTCTTTATTGGAAGATGCTAGCTATTGTGGCATCTGGTGCTGTCTGGATTTGGAAGATTGTTGCCTTGTATTATATTTTAACAGGTTCCTCTATCCTCTGTTTTTCCTGTATATTGATGGTTAGAAGCAGAAGCTTGATCAGATTCAAGTCCTTGGCTTTGGTTCGGGTAAGACTATGTCATTAGCTGTCCCTTGAGTTCTTCTATCAGGAGGCATGTAGTGCCCAATTCTCTCTTGATGACAGGCCACTTGTAAACTGCTGATGCTTCAAGCAATTTATAAAAAACCAATACATTCGGGGCTGGGGATTTAGCTAAGTGGCATAAGCACCTGCCTTGCAAGCAGGCGGTTGTGAGTTTGATCCCAGATACCCATGAAAAGTTAAAAAAAAAAAACCATTCTATTTCATTTTTTGCATTGATTCTTTGGACTCATCTATAAAGATTCCCCTCCTCTAATTTGGGGGTTACCGAGTGATTCTGTCTGAAAGTAACTTTAAAAATTGATCATCTATCTCAATGGGCCCCTGGGAAGTGGGTCAGAGAAAGTAAGTCCCTCATCAGGGGTAGGACACATAGACAACTCAACCTCGAGTCTGCATCGTCATAGGCAGCATGGTTCTGCAGGTAGCATGGTGGAAGAAGTAAGGTGTGAGTCTAGAAACAGAGGCTCCAACTTGAATCTAGAATCTGTCATTAGTAAGCACTGAGACTTGGACAGACCCTTGTCTCTAAATGAGGATAATCCTATCTCCCTCACACCAGAATGACCAAGGTTTGGACACTGTAGCAAGGAACTCAGAGCCCATGGCTCCTCACTTGATTTTCCATGGCTGTTTCAGGACCTGCCTATGGAGCCCATTTTCCCTCTCAAGTGCCTGACAGATGTTGAACAGAGGAACTGTTTCTTGGAAAGTTCAGGCCTCTCTCAGCAAGATGTGAACTCTGGATCACTATATTATGTGCAGCTCCTTTGGTTAAAAATCATTAACAGTTTCAAGACAGTGACCACAGAGAATTAGCCCATGGATAGTATCCTGAGCTCAAAACTCCATATAACAGTGCAGACCTCAGGCCACACCAGCTTGGGGAGCCTTCCCTGTGTGCAGTGAAGCCACATGGACACATTTGTCGTAATTCAGTAAAATCTGAGTGGGTGTTTGGGACATGGTAGCCACACCCAACAAACCCAAATCAAACTAGCAGGGGATGAAGGGGTAAAAATGTAAGTGACACTTAAAAAAGTAAGTGACACTTAAAATCTCATCAAGTGAAAGCTATTTCTTGGATTTTCATATTTTGAATCAACCTGTAGCCAAAGATGCAAAGACTTAATTGTCAAGTGGAAGAAAATGTGACTATAATGACATGGACCCTACAACAAATGTTGGATGTGACTAAGAAGAGGAGATGGCAGGGACATCCTTGATGCTTCTTATCCTAAGTAGGGTGGGATGGAATCGATGTTTACAAAGAACTAAGGGAAGCCAGCAGATATATGCTAGATTATAATTGCTTTTTAAAAAAAGGAAGTCAGGGATATGAATAAGCTAAATTGTCTTGCTCTTACAGACAAATCAATGAATGTTGGTCTGAAGTTACGAATTGAGAAACACAAGTAAACTGGGCATGGTGGTACCTGTGAGCCCAGCTATTTGGGAAACAGAGGCAGGAGGAGCACAAGTTTGAGGGCAGTGTACACTATTTAGTGCAACTGTGTCCCCAAAAGAAAAAAATAGCAGATGCAGCTCAGTGGTAGAGTTCTTCCTTTGTATGAATGAGGCAGCCTGGGTTCAATCTTCAACACTGAATTAAATTAAAAACAACCCCCCCCCATAAAACCAGGTCAGTAGTATATTATCCAGAGTTACAGAGTAATCCATCACCTAAAACACAAAAGAAATATGTGAAATAATTTGCCTTCAGAGTGAATCAGGGGTGAAAAAGAAAGAATAAGGCAAGAGTCTGGGGATTTCCTTTATAAATTCTTTTGTTGAGGCTGGAGATTTAGCTCAGTGGCCCAAGTGCCTGCTTGGCAGACAGGCATAAGGTCGTGAGTTGGATCCCCAGTACCCTTTCCCAAAAAGTATATAAATTCTTTTGTTCTATTTGATTTGACTCCTGTTTTATTCTAATTAAAAGGTTAAAAGGGGGTTAGAAACCTACTGCCCTGTGTAAGGTAGACAGAAAGACAGAGGGGTCTGATCTGGGCAGGCCAATTTCAGAACTTTATTATCTCAGGTTCCCAGCCAAAGCCTTTGGCAGCTCCAGAGTTAGATACTCACCTAGCACATGATCCATGGGAGAGAATTCACAATGTTCCAGGGAATAGCTCTGATTAGATCACATGACCAATCCAGGATGAGCCAAACTATGATTGGCTTCACTAGGATCGTGTGACCACTTGGTTGTCAAGCCAAGCCTGATGGTACGCATCTGTAAGTCTAACTACAAGGAGGTCTAAGTAGGAGGATCAAAAGTTTGAGTCCAGCATGGGCAACTTAGCAAGCCAGTATCTCAAAATAAAAAGGCCCAAGGATGTAGTTCTAGGGTATAGTGCTTGCCTAGCATGCAATACACCTTGGGCTTAATTCTCAGCACTGCAAAGTAGAACAAAACAACACAACCAATGCCACATGACTGAACACATCCTCAAAAAAACAAAACAAAAACACACACACACAAAAAAAATCCCTACAGAAACATCCAGGACCAAACAGGAAGAGAGAATGGATGCTGAAGAACAAAACTAACACATGCTTAAGGCACTGAGGTTTTCAGGGGTCAGTGCCTGGTACAAAGTGCAGGGTATAGAAATGGAAGATGCCTGCAACAGGAAGCTCTGACTCACAGTCAAGATGAGAGGTGTGGGAAATGTAATGAGTCACTGTTATCCAAGGGAGAATGTGGAAAGAGCCTCAAGGATATTCACACAGTTCTACGAGACACTATACATAATCACCCACTGTCAGTTAAGGCATTTTATAAATTCAGGGGGGACCCCCTTCCAGGGCTCCCTGATACAACACAAAGATGGATTCAGATCCCCTTTCTGCTCAGTGAACTGCTTCTCTGAGCCTCTATCCGTAAGTCTGTAATTCCAGGTTGGCATGAGCTTCTCTCAGAAAGTTGATGTCAAAGCTCTGCAGACAGTGGGCACTTGCCTCAGAACCCCAGAGCCACCCACCCACCGCATTTGTTGCAACTTAGCTTAAGACCAAACAATCCCCTTAGAGTTTGTTGTTTTGGTTATAAAAGTATGTGAGCAAGTAATCCAAATATCTAGAAAAACCTCACTGAACCAAAAGTGTCAGCATACAATGCCACTAAAACAGAAGCTCCCTGAAGGCAGGCAAAGAACTATTTCTTTTTGCATCTCTCCCTGGTACCTCACAAAATGGACACACTAAAAAAAAAACTTGCAGTTGAATAAATGAATGGGAATAGGAATAAATGAGGCTCCAGAAAGAACACTTTATAGGAAAATTATGAAATTATAAAAACAGGACATCAGTTTACCAAGATGGACTCCTGGGTGGCCACTCTAGTGAGCTCAGAAGTCAGTGAAAGACAAACAGGGAACAAAGTTTGTCCCCTTCCATGGGGTCTGGAAGGCAGGACACACTGGAGGAGACAATGCACAAGCCCAGTTCATTGTTCATTCAACATATGGTTATTATTCACCTGCCATATGCCTGACACAGACACTGGCAATGGATCAGCAGTACGTGGACCAACATGCCTCCTGCCTTCATCCAGGGCCTCACATATGAGGATAAGAGCAGCCTCTGGGAACCTGGCCTATGCATTCCTACAGATACATCTACCCAAAATGTGTTTACAATTAATCACAAGAATAGCAGTAATCATTCATAAATAATCTACTGTCTTAGGACCACTTCAATTTTAAGTAACAAAAACTCAACTTGAATTGGCATAAGCCAATAAAAAAAATTCTACAGAATGTATTCATCCCTAAATAAAACGTGCTGAGTTCTGGTATAGCTTGATCCAGGCCCTATAGCACAGACATCATCAGGACTCTGTCAGTTATCCTGTTTCATCTTTTGGCTTCACTTTTCTAACTTCACTCTAAAAAGATCAAACAGTAAACATGGTCCCTAGTAGCTCCAAGGTACCTCCATCCTCACTATTCCAGCAAAACCTTGGGGTACTGTTTCAATGGCTGGCTGGACTCAGGTCCCATGCCCAGGTTTTTGGCAATTCTTGTGATCAGAACACAGGATGTGTGTATTAGCCTGGATCTGACAGCTGGGGATGGGACGAGGGAACAGTACCACTTATCCAGTGGTGACTCAGCTCAGAAGAGGTATAGTTTCAAAGAGAACAGGCTGGCTTTCAAAAAGGTGATGCTGAGCCAGGCGTGGTGGCTCACGTAATCCCAGCACTCGGGAGGCTGAGGCAGGAGGATCCTTACAAGTTTGAGACCAGCCTGGACTACAAAGTGAGCTCAAGGCCAGCCTGAACTGCATAGAGACCCTGTCTCCAAAAGAAAAAAAAAGGTGATGCTGAACAGACGGCCTTAACACAGCCTCCTACATCCATGTACCATGCTCAGAACCAAGTTAACCCTCTCAGTAGTCCTGTGTCATGAGATTTTAATCCCCATTTTACAGATGGGAAAACCAGCTCAGAGAGGCTATCTTGCGAGTGTCACATACTTAGTGAATTAGGAGAATTAAAGTATTGATTCAATTCTACCAGACTGAGAAGTAAGTTGGGGGTTCAGAGAAGACTTGACCAGACCTCGTGAATGGAAGGGAAAAAGTGAAAGGAAATAGTGGCTGCTGAATTTAGCACCACTGTTTGTCTCTTTACTTCCCCATCCCCATTTCATGAGTATGTAATTTATTTGCAGTCCACACATCTATCTTTCAGTCCAGGGTTTACTAAAGCAGTACAGTGCAGACCTGGAACTAGACTGGTCCCCCCGGAAACAGCCTTCGGCAAGGGATTAAGTGCTGTGCTTCAAGGTGCAGGGAGAATCCCAGAAAGAAAGAGCAAGGGAACAGAGGAGTGAGGAGGTGAAGGATGGCAAATTCTGCAAGGTGTCACAATGCCACACCAAAAGAGCACAGGAGTCTACCTTCCCAGCTCCTATTACTCAAATTTCATCCCTGAGAATGAAGTCCCCTGCGCTGCTGGTTGCCTTCGCCAGCCTCGTTGGCAGTCACTTGAGAGCCAGTCCCATATTCGGCACTGAAGTCTACTAGGGACTCAGACTCAAAAAAGCAGGTCAGCTTGGGGTGAAGCACATGGGACACCTAGAATCCTTGTCCACAGCACAGTAAGTATCCAAGAGTCTGGTGGACAGAAGGAGCTGAACGCCTTCAGGAAGACATACTCGATGTAAGTATGTGACACAACTGCATCTCAGCTGACTTCCGTGCCTCAGTTTCCTTTATACTTAACTGGGAATGCATTACCTCTATGGTTGATGAGAGGCCTGGAGAAAATACACATAGAGTACGTAGTACACAATCAGGTCCCAAGTGGGAAAAGTGGGTTGGCTGCCAGCTTATTTTGCCTGGAGGTCTCAGAAGTGGGAAGGGTGATGTCACAGCAAAACCGCAGTACCAGGTTGCTCAGTTGCAAGCTGGCTCAAATAAAGAAAAGGTCAGCTCCCAAAACGAGGAGGTCCACACATACCTCTGGCTTTAGCACACTTGGACCAAAGGTGGCTCAGAGTCCCAAGGGAAATGACTCAAGGAGTTCCCAGAATGAGTATCAAGGAAATATACTCCATAACCTCCAAAGGCTGACAGGCAGAGTCCACACAGGAGAGCCAGCTGGAGCATGTGTGAAAGGGACTTAGTGGGACAACCAACCTGACAAACTCTACATTTCTGGAAAGCCTCTGTAATGAGCTGGAGCTACTCCCCCTGCCAAAAAAAGGTTTCTTTGTTTCTGGCTGGAATGATTCAGCCCCTCTTGCTCCTGGCTCACAGCACACAGTGAGTGCCAGTTCTGGATACATCTTAAGTATACTGGGGGAAACAGATGCTGGCTTCATGACTGCAGCCTATTTAGACTTTATCTTTCAAACCTAGGAATCCATTGGGGGGGGGCACGACACAGATACACTGTAACACCGGTCTGAAGGGGTACTGCGAACCAGGAACCCAAAGGCCCCTTTGCCGAGCAGCTCTGCATTCCCTTTGTTAAGGAACACGGTGTTCCACCCTCCTGCTCCCCACTCTGGGTCACTGTGCCAGCACCGGGAGTATCAGCCATATGGCTCTGAACAAAACAATCTACCTATCCAAACTTACTGCCTCAACTGAAAAATGAGCCTGATGCATAAAAGTCAAAACATTCACCCAAAGATTGATACATGACACTTTCAAAATGACTTTATTTATAATAGCCAAAATCTACAAACAGCTCAAATGTGCATCATGTACATGGCTGAGCACAGATGCACACCCACGTGATGTGATCCTCCCCAGCAGTAAGAGGAATGGTCCACGGATGCATGGGACAAGGATGTGTCAAAAACATGCTGAGAAAAAGAAACCAAACATGGAGTGCTCACTGGAAACTCTAGAAGAAAGGCCAAAGTAATCTCTAGAAAAGCAGGTCAGTGGTTCTCTGAGAGAGGGGAGACTGACCATCAAGGGAGATAAGGCACTTTTTGGGAAGAAAAAGAACTACTCTGCATCTAATTGCGGTGGTAGTTATAAAGGTGCATCATGCAAAACTCATGATGTGTATGCTTAAAGGGGGTGATTCCACTGCATGTGAAGTACATCTCAATAAAGCGGACTTTTAAAAAAAAGCAAGACCACAGAAAAGCACTTCCTACATTAGAAGGCTTTCTATGATAAGAAACCTAACTCAGTCTGGTTTTAAAGGAAGGGAAAAATTTAAAAAGTGCTGGCACACATAATCAGGGTAGTCCAGGGGTACAGCTGGCTTCCAGCATGGCTGGATTCAGGAGCTTCCTGGGCAGCAAGTGGCAGATCTGGACAGTACTCTGTCCATCTTAGTTCTCTTCCCTCTTTGTTGGCTTCATCCTCAAATGGGTAACAGAGTGGCTATCGCAGCTTCAAGGTTATATCCTGTGGACTTAGCAACTCCCACAGAAAGAGAAAGCTTTCCCCATGGCTGTTATACAAGTCCCTGGGGGAGCCTGTGGGCAGGCCTGGATCAGATGTCTGTGTCCAAAGCCAGTGGGTGGAGCTGGCCCCACCTGAACCCCAGAGATCCAGGATAGGGGAAAGAGGTATCATCAGAAAAATGGGTCATCACCTTTCCCATATCCAGACAACTTTGTAAGAGTGAGCCATGTCACCTGGAACAGATGGATCCCCCCTCACTCAAGCCCAAGGCCGCTTCTCTGTAGAATTACAGAGATTACAGATGTCTGCTATTAGACATGAGTCAAAACAAAGAATGCACCAATTGCTTCCCCGTTAGTCAAGCCAAATTCAAAGCCCTTCCTTCCCATGCTGGGTGTCTACCCCAAGGCAATGGGCTGGAGTGGGGTTGGGGGAGGCGCTCTGCAGGAGTCACAGTGGCCCAGGACCAGCATGAACCTAGACCTACTGGGTCTAGACTAACAGGAGAAGCCCTATCCTTGGCTCTGGAAGGGAAAGGTGCCTCCATGGGCCCTGGGCTTTAGTGGCCTGGATCACAAGGAAATCCAGGGTAAAGAGGCAAGGACTGCAGGCTTTCCTATCCAGAACCTCCATCCCAACAGGAGTCAGCCAGATGGGAGGCCAGAGAAGACTGCCAGGAAGTCATTCTTGTAGAACCAAAAAGAGAAGGTACATTTGCCAGGTTGAGAGCCAAACTTGACCTCCTGGGAAGTGTGTCACAACTGCCATTCTGGGAGTATCTTCCTGGGCCCAGCAGCCGCCTGTGCACACAAGTGCACTCCTGGAAGGAAAGGGAATGCAGAATGAGTTGGAAAACACACACTCCTACAGGAAAGGCTGCAGCCCACCAAACACGCAGGCTCGAGGGTCCTCAGCTAAGTGACTACATTTGACCAGACTCCATACCCAAGGCTTTACCACCCAACCCTGTGCTCAAGGCTCTTGTCTAAGCCATGTCTAACAGCTGGGATGCTCTGAGCTGGAGTTTTTCTTTCTGTTCATTGATTTATTCCCTCCTTTTGCTTCCCTCCCCCACTAAGAATTGAATCCAGGGCCTTCACTGAATAGCATCCATAGTGTTCCCACTCTCATCTTTTTATTTATGTATTTATTGAGACAGAGCCTGGCTAAGTCACTGAGGCTGGATCCCAACTTGTGATCCTCCTGCCTCAGCTTTCTAGAGTACTGGGATTACAGGTATGTGCCACTATACCCAGAGGGCTGGGGTTTCCTGACCCAGGTAACCCACAGCATCTGACAGTGAGCTTCCAAACTCAGTACCTAAGGAGTGTGGGTAATAAAGGCTTGAGCACACATCCATGCACTCTTTCCCACTGAAATGCTGGCTGCCTCTCACAGGTGCCATTTCCAAGTGTGTGCACTCTTCAGCAACGAGCTGGGTAGGGAAAGGAGTAACTGCTGGCCTGAAGACGAAGTGCGCCCTTGCCAAGCAAGGAAGGAGTGGCCAAGGTCTTGAGGCCCTTTCTTCAAAGGGAAGCCTGGCCCAGAGCCCCAGGGCTGCAGGAAAGGGGTGCCCTCAGCCCCTGGCTCCCATCTCCAAGGCTGGCCTGCCAGCTCTGCATACCCTCTGGAGCTGACCTAGTCAGTCCTTAGGCCAGGCTTCTTGGAAGGAGGAGAGAGGGGGGATCTATGCAGCCCCAGCAGGGCTTCTGACCCCTAGGACACTGACAAGCAAGCCTCAACAGAGCTGTGGTGCTTCCTGGGCACCTCTGAGCAGGAAAGTGGCTAACAAGACATCCTGCCATTGGCATCCAGCAGCCAGGAAATTCAGGCCATGCCTCTTGGGGTGTAAAATGGGGTAAGTCTTTGTAGCAGTGGTTCAGACTGAGTGGGCAGCTGTGGCTCCAGCTGGTGGGGGTTAAGGAGCATGAGGAGACTCTAAGGGAAGATGCTGGCAGACAGGTTACTACTGTCTCCTCCAGAGACAGTGGCCCCCACCCACACCCTCAGGGCTCGGCTGACCAAGTGCTGCTTATTATTAAGCCTTGTAATAGATTTCTTACATGTACTAATAATTATGAATATTACTACTCCTGCTACTAAAGCATCACCAATCTTCAGAGTGAAGAGCTACAGGTTTGAATGCTAGCTCTGTCATACCCCAGCTCTGTATCTGTGAATAAATGCCCCCTGCTCCCATCTCCTTAGCCTGTTCCCTGTCTGAAAGTAGGATCAAAGATGAGCACACAAAATAATGGGAGTGAAACCCGCCAAATACAAATGGTCACATCCTCTGTGGGGATTTGCAGGCAGAGCTGAAGGGAATTTTCCATCACTACCTACAGGCAGGTGATCCAAAGGTTCTCCCCTAGCTCTTAATAGAATCTACTGAGGAGGACAATAAAAAAAAAAAAAAAAAAAAAATCAAGACACCCACCGTGGGGATCTTTGTGACATCCCTTCCCTGGCAGTTCAGACCCAGTTGGGCTTGGGTGAACCCAGGGATTGGCTTCTTAAAAAATACTCCCCAAGTGGTTCTGGGTGCAATGGGGGTCAAGCAGCATTTCAGAAGCCCACCTGGCCATCCGTTGGATATGACCTGCACTTCTCACTGGCAATCCCACCCATCCGAGTTCAGACAGATCCACTGCTGCTCAGACTCTCTCCAAGACCTTCCTAGCTAGAGGCGGACAGAGGTTGCAGAACCCCCAAATTGGTAAAAAAAAAAAAAAAAAAAAGAAAGAAAGAAAGAAAGAAACTAGTCTTCCATGGGCACAGAGCTATGGCTCGTGTGCATTGGGGGCTGTCTCTTGTAGAAGTGTCAGTTTCCTACCTGGGCAGGGGACGCGTGCAGAAAGGACATCTGTCATTAGCAGACATTATCCCAGGGTAAGGACATTCATAAGCTTTTTTCATCCTTTTGGTGAACAGTGTTTGAAAGCAATTCGATTTTCAATTTTTCAAATGACGATAATTCTTTTGTAATTGGGAAAAGCAGTAATCAGTTTACTTTTAATGTATCGTCTTTTTAAGACAAAACTGAGGTGCTATCTTTTGCAAACATTTTGGGTACAGAATGAAGAACACATACAGGAATGAGACGGTATGGGGGGTGGAAAGGCAGGGCAAGGGACCTAGGAGGAGGGGGTGGGTGATCTGAAGTTGGTAATGCCAGCAAAGGTGCTCAGGGCTAAAAGGATGGCTGCACCACCCTTGCCCACTGGAGGTGTGAGATTCTCATTGTCTGGGGGCCTCACCCCTATTTTACCAAGGGGAGCTAAATATCACTCATGTTTAAATTTCACCTTGTAGGTGGACTTTCTCCTGGGCAGGATGTAACTGAGGGTCCTAAGTGCACCCAATCCCTACGGTAACAGTAGGACAAGCCCTGGAGCTAGGGCTGGGCTAGCAGGAAGGCAGGTCTTGAAGTTCAAAGTCCTGCAAATGCCTGCCCAGCCCCTGGCCCCTGGCCCCAGACCATCTTCACAGGTGTTGGGAGATTTCCCAGGGGGGCTGCTGGTGGGGAGCGGGCTCAGAGTTGTTCCCACTGGGATAAATTTCTCCTGCAGTCACAGGGTGTGCCCAGCACAGCAGGCCCAGTGCTGCTTGTCACTAAGTATACTTGGTCTGTCTACCTGTGGGCAAGCCACTGGACTCCATTGCTTTGAGAATTCGGTGACATCCCTTTGGATCTGTGGTATTAAGGGAGGCATACGACAAAGGAATTCCTATTTTAAAAGACTATTTCTACTTCTTGACAGTAGAGCCCTCCCAAGATAAGACAATAGACCAATCAAAATATCTGTGGAGGGAGGAGTGGAAAAAGTGGGGGCACCTGCTGAGAATAGAAGAAACCATGAAGTCGAAAAGGGACAGAGAACATCCTGCTAAGAAAAAGCAAGCTTCAGGGTCACTGCAGAGAGGAGAAAGACCCTGAATCCCTGTTTTGTTTTTTTAAGACAGCCAGGTCACTAGGTCTCAAAGAGTAGCCAGAGAGGCCCCTTTTATTTTAAAAAACAATGCAGGTTCCTGCCAGGTGACTTCTCCCCTCCTGCTCTGACTTCTCAGGAAAGGGGGGAATAGGGCATCCCATCCAGCCCACCACAGTTGCTTTAATGAAAGTGTGACTTTCCTGGGCACTGCCTAGGCAGCTGGGCTCTTACCAACCTTCAATGTACAAGAAACAGGGCCTTCCACACTCAGTTGGGCTCCACCCTGCATATGAACGCCCCAACACCCAGCCCCCCAGCCTACAGTCCCCAAGTCCTTCATCAAGAAAAGCTGCACAACAAATCAATGTCCTGGAAAACCAACTCTTTCAGTGATCGGCAAGTCTCCTTTCAGTCTCACTTGACGTTATTTTCCAACCTGGCCCCCAAAAGCCCCTTTTGTCCCAGAGGGGCTAGGGATAGATTGGTGGCAGCTGCAATTGCCCGATGCACACTGCAAGAACAATAAGGATTTTTAGGGGCATTATGACTGAGTCAGAAAACACAGCTGCCCCTGAAAGTCCCTCATTTTTCTTGCTGTCCTTGAACGGTCTCCAGGTGAGTCGGCAGTCATCTGCTGGCCCAGGTGCGCCAAGGTGGAGATGGTGTTGCTTAGCCCACTCTGCCCACACCCCCAAAGCTCTGTGACGGTGGTGCGGCTGCAGGGTCCCCTAGCGGATGGTTTTTAGCATCCTCAGGAATAATCAGCCTTTTTTCACCCAGACCCCACTCAGAGCACGCCAAGGACTAGAACGAGAGGATGTGCTGAGAACCGAGAGAAAGGCCACAGTGTGGCCCTTGCTTTCACAGGTGGGCCCCGGAGGCCAAGTGAGCGTCTTGGGCCTGACATGGAATGAGGACAAAAGAGAACAGGCCTGCTTCAGAAGAAGAAAGAAGAGCAATCCAGACAGGCACTGCCTCCACTGGCCCCAGCACCTATGGCAGAACAATTTACATGTGCTTCCCAGAGCACAGGCACCTGGCTCGGATCCTGTTTTTCACCAGCAGTCACAGCTTGGAGTATCCATAAGCAGGTTCTTGAAGAAGCAAAATTCCCACCGCTTCTCTGAGTGGCCCGAGTGGAAAAGCAGCTCTACCCCAAGCCTTTCTACCATGACAGTCCGCAGCCTGTAACAAGACAGGTTGAAGATTTCTGGAATGCACCAGATAGTATTCAGGTTCAAATGAACAGGCCGATAGGTTCTGCTAGAAGTGCAGGCTCAAAGAAATGAAGATGACAACCAGCCAAGGAGCCACCAAGAAGATGAAAGGGAAGAAGCCAGTCACCAATTTTTCTAAGGGGAAGACTTAAAAAAAAAATTTTTTTTTCAAAGCTTCTAGCATCAGGGCCTTGTTGAGGATCTGTCTTCACGGGACACTCTCCTGCCCCAGGGCTAGGAGAGCCTCCAAAACAGCAAAGGGTCAACTCCCAACAGCACCAGGACACAGAGAGAAGGCCCAACAGGCCCCTCTTCACAGACACCCCCAGCCTTCACAGATGCAACTCAGGACAGGGAACTTGTCCACTAAAGCCAGGCCACACCACTTGGGGCCCCAGCAAGGCTGGAATCTGGCCCCCTAGGCTGCCAGGAACCTGTCCTGCCCAGATTGGCACTGCACCCATTCCATGTGTACTTGGCCACGGCTCCTGCTGTCTGTGCAAGACACTCAGCTTCTTGGGATACATGGGGGGCTGTGGTGGTGAAAAGCATGGCCTCACACCTGACAGTCCAGCCTGGGGTCACTGTGGGCTCACTTGACGTGCACGTGTGGGTAAACTGTTCTGCTTCCAGGCCATGGGCTTTCGAAGCTGTAAAAATGAGTAACACAC